ACACTCCGCCTTTGAAGGGGTTGCACCTTCTGCAGACGAAGCAGTGGGTCTATTTATATCCCCCCGACCCACTGGGGGTCAGAGAGAGAGAGAGAGAATAAAAATATTTTCAGCAGGCCATTGAGAACCAGTAATGAGCACAAACTCTACTGCTGAAAATATTGCCATTACTTATTCAAAACGGTTCTTACTTTCACAAAATCCTCACTCAAAATTGGCATTCACTTAAAATCGTCACGACGTCCTCAAAACATTAAGCCTCACTTGAAAATGGCATTTACTTAGAATTATCATGACCTCTTCAAAACAGTCATTGCTTATTCAAAATCTCTATGCCTTTTAACCAAAATTATCACTTGGGTCATTAAATCATCATGACCTCTTCAAAACAGTCTTTAATTAATCAAAATGTGTATGCCTTACTCAAAATCTCTATTTCGGTTATTAAATTATCACGACTTCCTCAAAATATTATTTGCTAAAATATTGCCAAGTGGGAAGTGTGTTGACAAAACGAGTCAATTCTCAGATTTTATCTTAAAGAACACAGACATAGGCCAGATTTATAGGTTTAATTTGTACACTTAATTATATTAGATGAAAAAACAAACTATATAACTTGAAGAAAATCCCATCAGTTCAAAATGTACAAATTTGAAATTGAAGTGTGCATATTTTCAGCCGACATCTCCATACATGGATTGCGAGAAGTAACTTATTTTGTCTGTGAAATAATAGTAATAATAATTGATTTCATTTATATAGCACTCTATCTCATACAATGTCTTCATCGACCTGAGGCAGGCGTATGACCGTGTGTAGAGAAAGGGACTGTTCTACAAAATGCAAAAGCTTGGGATAGCAGGAAGGATGTACAGCTGAATCAAGAACTTTCTGTCTTGCAGAACTATCCAGACACCATATGACAGCAAGATTTCTTCACAGAGGACACTCGAGAAAGGCCTCCCACAGGGGCCAGCACTCAGCTGTATCCTCTTCCTGTTGTTCATGAACGACTTGCCAGATGTCATCTCCTGCCAGAAAGCACTCTATGCTGACGACTTGCTCATCTGGAGCAAAGGAAGTGACATGAGAGCACTGACCAAGCCATCAACGCAGACGTAACTACTATCTCGTCCTTACAAAGCCTGCTCTACTCTGGCGTTGACCAGATGACAAGGACATGTGGTTACTTGAGAGACGCATTGCGCTGCCAAGAGCGAAATGTTCGCAGCTAAAGGGATTTGAAAACAACAACAACAACATCTCATACAAGTATTATCTCCGCGCATGCCTCACATATATTGTTATTACTTACTCAAGATCGTAATAGGCTCCTGAGGCAATGTCACAGCCGACACAGAGGTCAGAGGCGAGCCATCCGTCTGCAGCCAGTGCACCGTGGGAAGGTGGTGGGGATGGTGGTTCATCACGGCAACGCTCGATGCCAGCATGTCAGCCGCCGTGCCAAAACTGACAGTCTGGTGGGGGACCGTGCAAGGGATCTCCATCATGGAGGAGCTGTCCAGATTAGGCGCGGGCAGGATCTGCACAGGGATCACGGAGCAGCTGAGGAGCGAGTCTGACTCCTGCCCGCCAACCCCAACCGTCGCTGCAGCTGTCTGGACGGTACACAGAACCGAGGGTGGGGGGAGGGGCTTGGACTGGGACAGAGGCAGCAGGAGACTTTTGGCTGGGAGCAGAGCTGTGGCTGTGGCTGCTGTTGTAGTTGACACCGTCTCTTGCGACATGACGGGAGGCATAGCAACTGTAGAGGTATTGATGGGGACCACTGAGGTGGATTTTTCAGACTTAACCTGGAAGGAAAAGAAAGCCGAGGGGTGGGGAGGGGGATTAGTAAACTCAATGCTGACGAGTTGATCTAACTAAAGCAACTATATGAGTACAAAGGTTGTGACTAAGTTTTCAAACAGATTTGATTTTAACTCACTCACCACCATTATCGCACCTGTCGTCAGTCAATAGGCGACAACTGCTCACCGCCGCTAGCGCACCCTTGTCGGTCACGTATTATCCTCTTTATTTCTACTAATTTCCAACACATATGCATACCCAATCACAAGAGTAACATCCCTTTGACCATTCAGAGCAGTTTCACTTTATTACAATGTGTCCCTGCCTGTTTTTGGAACGGGAGTTCCCTTTGTCTTATTTCTGGGTTTTGTCTTGAACTTCGGGCGGCCAAAGTCAACAAATGTTCATGCCGATATGAATTGAAAAAGGCGCATAATTTTAGAGATTCTGAATCCATATGATTCAACAAACTGAGATAATGAAGTGCAAAATAATGGTAGTGATGGTTGTTTGAGATGAGAGAAAGAGGTAGACAACCTGTCGACAGCAGTGTAGGTTAGTAGTACTAATACTAGATCTAGTACGAGAGTCTAGTACGACGACAAATGATTCAAGCGATAGCGTTTGAAATAGTGTAGCCTAAGTCATCATAAACTTATAAATTTAGTTTTCTTTGTTTTGTTATAGATTTTTGTGTGTATTTTAGGACAGAAACTGCATCACTCTCACAAAAACAGCAAAAATATTGTACTGGCTAGTTTGGCCAAAACAAGAGGTTTTGGTTCCCAAAATTCGTCGATTTTTTAAAAGCTATAAAACATGAACAAAAGAACATACAGTCAAAATTCTCTCTGTTTTGTAAAGCTCAACATCTCCAACTGAAACTGGCCAATTTTCATAAATCTTACATAAATAGATAGAGAGTAACTGGATTTTGAAAAAGGTAAAAAAAAAAAGCTGGCAGGCAGCGGCTTGGTCGGAGCTAAGGCGCCGGCAGCAAGTGAGTTAATAGTGTCCCTTTTCAAAAAGGACTTAACCACTTTCCTTTGAAACTTGAAACAAATGTTTTCTAATTAACAACATTTAGCGCAATCAAAAGACAGCTACTTCAGACTAACTAGTCATGATCAACCCAGCAGAAAGATCAAGACACTCAACTGAATATGTAGGCTTATATAACCACATATAGGATGCAATTTTTTTAACCTAAAAATCAGTGCTTCAAAGTTGCCGTGTCTTATCCAAGGGATCCGAAATAAGATCTGCAAACCCAAAGTGTATTAATATTAGATCCAAAGACATGACAAAACCACACAGCCAGACCTGGCCACTTCGAACAGAGCTCTTTTCGCTGCAGGCAACACCTTCATTCTTCAGCACAGATGGTAACACCAGTGTGGGAGGCTGGAGGGTGGACAGGGGCTGGGTAAGCAGACGCTGGATCCGACTTCCCTCAAACCGTGATCGTCCAGACTTTCCAGATGCTGCAGATTTTTTCAGACCAGACTTTCCACCATCAGATTTCCTTTTCTGATTTGGATATTTTAAGCTCGGGTCTGTTTTCATCTGGAGAGAAGAACGGGAAACAATTCATTGAACAATTCTCATTCTGCACTCTCTCAACAAGCTCCTTCATATTAAAAATGAAGTGGCAAAAATGTGGGGGTGGGGGGGGGGGATATTTTTGGACAATAAAATCATAACTATGTCTTAATCCTTTTAGCCATCTCATCCTCTCAGTCAAAGAAAATTCAATCCGCTATATGAAAATCCTCGCTTTTAAAAAAAACAAGGGCATTATCCGCAATAAGTCACACCTCAAACAATAACCATGTGGTCTAAAAGTCCTACCCATTAAAAGCTTATCCCTTATTGGGTATGGAAATATAGCAAAGACTGTTCAAAATCAGCGACAAAAGATTCCAGTGCATCCCACACAGCCACACGTAAACACCCACTCTGTACACAGCAACAAGTGCTCTGTCAGGAAGCAGCACACAGCAGAAGCACACAATCCAAAGTGAAATTTTTAAGAACTTTGGGAATTGAGATCTTGCAACTTTGTACAGGATTCACAAAGCCATTTTATGAAAAGAACTGAGACTCAAATTTATTAAGTGTAAAACCTGAAAGATGCATCAATCTTAAAAGTTAAAAAGTTGCAAAATGCAAAGGTTCAAATGTTGTATGACAAATTTAGGCTTGAACCCTACTCTCCTCTCCCCCCCCCCCCCCCCCCCCCACTATTTTCTAGCAACACCAACAGCGACAGCAACAGCGACAACAACATAGAGGTCACTGCTACCTTCTCCACAAGTGCCTGCATAGCAACGGCAAGTCCAGCTGGATCCAAGTCCTTGTTTTCTTGGTTGAGCTGTGTACAGCAGGAAGAGAGAGCACATAGAATGAGTTACAAAATTACGGTTGGGATCATTCAATTAAAAATGAAACTGCAGTGACACGCATAATTCAGGGATGACGACCTGCAGAAAAAAATCCATAGTAGCCAAAGAGTGACCCCCTGCTTTTTTTTGGTGAAAGCCAACCTTCCTTTAAGCCTTTGTTGAGCCCTAACTTCCTGAGGCTACCAAGCCCCTCTGCCTGAGCTCCTGAGCGATTCACGCTTTCATATCATCATCAGAAGCACATTCCATATCACCCACTAAAGGTAGTCCTCATCATTACCAGCATCTAATTCAGAAAGATCATCAAAATAATCAATAACGTCCTGAGTGGTAAACACTGTTTTCCGTGCACGTTTTGTCCCCAACGAGCCGGTTTGGGGAAAGGGTCTCACTCACTGGTATACCGGTGGCCAGGCACACCCGTAATTTAATGTGCCACTGACCGGCGGCTACGGCTTAAAGGGTTAACAGTAAAGAATTATCGCTTTATCACTGCTTCAAATGTTTTTCAGCAGAACATCATCCCTTCATTACCAGTGTCAGTGTTCCTGGAATTACCCATTTTCATTTTATAGAAATACTACAAATTCAATTCAGATAACTTTCTACCCTCAATAACACCTTCATCCTCAACAGCATGGTACTCGAATGCATGCCTTAACCTGCCGTGGTGTAAATCTAGCAGTCAATTCAAAGAAGCTCAGAAGAACAGTGCCAGTGAACTCAAGGCTCAAAGGGTTAAAAGCTGATAGATTGATAAACACAGTAAAATGATTTAGGATGTAGGCAAAATCTGGAACTAAAATGAAATGTCTGTCTTACACAGTACAGAAGGGGCAGCCATAACTATGTGAGGCGTACTGACAAAATGAGTTTTTTCTCGGATTTTATCCCTCCAATGGACATAGTAATGTCAAATTTATAGGTTGAGTCTGTACAATTCATTAGCATGAAATGATAAAAGACATTTTAGACTCGAAGAAAATGCTATCAGTTGAAAATCTACAAAGTCCAGCCATGTGTTGATTTTTGGCCGATGTCTCCATTTGTGGAATGCAACAAGTGACTCATTTTGTCAGCAAGTCTCACATATCAACCTCTCCAAGTAACCTAGGCTGAGAAACAAATTTAAAACCTAAATTGCCTGTACAGGAGGATGGAGTCAACTAAGTGAATAGTCAAACATTGACAAATGAGAATACAAATTCTGAAATTGACCTCCAAAAAGAGATCTTATTTGTCTGCACAACTTCATTACAAGACGGTACTCTCCTTCCCGACCACCCTAACCCTGTCATACCTCTGCCAACTCAAAGATTAAGCAACTCGCATCCATCAGAGTCATAAAACCATCACTAGTCTAGATCAGGGCTGTACTGGGTGTTATGAAGGAGGCACCTCAAATATGTAGTGGTACTATTGAAATCTTGACAACCTTTATCCCGCAAAAGGCACTAACCTTTTTAATAATGACATTGACTCTATCATCGTCAAAGCTGTGTTTGCCTTTCAGGTGGTTCTTCATGTTGCCCTGTGTAGTGCTGCTGTAGTCGCACTCGGGGCATGAAAATGGACGGTTGCCTGGTGCAAAAGAATTTGTAAAGACGTGAGAGGTCAAACACACACTCACATACATATAAAGGCGCACACACACACACACGCACACACACCCACACACACACACACACACACACACACACACACAAACAAACAGACACACACATGATATGATAGAATCTGGCACTATCAAATTTTGGACATGATATGAATTTATTCGTATCATTTCAATCTTGTTCATTTGTCTTAATCTTGATTAAAAAATAACCCAACTATCTTGTTTCCGTTTAGTAAGAGTTTTAGGGCGCTCGCAACTGCATACGATCATACGAGTGCGCGAAACAAGTTGGTTCTATTTGCAACAGTTCACTGCACAGCCTGAGTTTGGTCAATATTTCTATTAAAATAGGGGGTTTCATGAAAAAATTTTAAAATCATTAATTAGAACAAGATACATGTCACTATGTAGAGCTAAAAGAGCTGAGAAAATTTTTTTTAAACAGCATGAAGATTGGATAAACGGTTCAAAGGTTATGCAAGTTTTTTGTTGGGAATTTGGCCACATTTCGGGAATCATTAATTACTTACTTATATAGACAAGAGGATGGCACCAAAATGTGCCAAAATGAGGCATGAGAAAGACAACTTAGCAACAGTTTTCATTAATTCAAAGAGAACGTTGCCTGCAAAACAAATGACAATCATACATTTCCAGAAAGGTTATGTAATGGCCCACATTATAAACAATGTGTTTTGTAATATGCAGTCACGTGACCAAATATGGCCGCCATTGATGAAACCCACAACAGATTTTGACTTACAAGTGACATAACATCAATGTTTTAAGTCAAAAGTGTACAAAAGTACATATTTTCTTAATCAGCACGACTAGGCGCGTCTAACGAACTGTAAAAAAAGCAACAATAAATCTTCTTTTTTTTTTTTTTAATCATATTTCACCCCAAAAAAATGAATGTAGTTGGGCATGAAAACCACGAACACAGAAAACTGAAAATCTTGAATAGCTCGTACAAATTGCCATTCCTTGACTGATATCTCTTGAATTTTTCATCACCTTTAGCCCGTAACCCAAATTATGGACATGTCGAAGACGTTTGCCATCCCCCGATGTATTTAAATTATTCGTGCCTGAAGTTAGTGATTATGAATCTAATTCCATAAGAATACCAACAGTCTTGAGCAAAAGTATACATTCTTTAGATCAGCAAAAAGTGAAGAATCCAATGAAAGAGCATACAACCAAAGATCAGATGGATACAGAGGAAGAGAACCAGCGTCTGTGGTGTAGCAGTTAAGAGCTTCGCTTTCATAAGCAGGAGACCTAGTGTTGATTCCCCAGAGGAGAGAAAATTGTTATCTTTGCTCTTCAAAAAAAGAAACGCATAACCAAGTGCATGTGTTTTCGTGATAATAAAATATGTAAATATGAGGTTTTGTGCATGCTAGTTTTTTTCACACATATGTGCGACTTGTTGTCTTGAACTTTTCACAACAAATTTCATCCTTTAATCACAGGTAGGCGCAGCCTGAGCTGTTGAATTGCATGATAATTAAGAGTTAAAAAGCTAACAAATTGTCTAATTTCGTGAGTAGCCGCACGGAATTTGGCGAGTGAGTTCATTCACAGAGTGGCTATATAAAAGGCCCAAAAAAATCAGTTTCATCCCTGTCAGTTCAGCGATACACCATTCCACAACTAACAATAGAAGAGCGAAACCAGGCTATTAGACGTTTGCAAGCCGGAGAAAGCTAAACTAAGGTTACCACACATTTCAACGTGTCAGTCTACCATCAGCCCACTTTTTGCAAGGTTTCAACAGTTCAACTCCACTGTCGATCAACCAAGAAGTTGATGGCCAAGGGCAACATCTCGAGCCCAAGATCGCTTTATTCAGCTTCATCACCTGCGGGATGGTTTTGTGCCTGCCTTTTCAACGGCCCAAGCGCTTTGGAATGTCATCAGAATTTCCGACCAGACAGTACACAACCGACTCCGAGAAAGAGGGCTCTGCGCATATCGACCTGTTTTAAGGACATTGTTGATGGACCGGCATCGCCAACAGCGGAGACAATGTGCCACTCAGCACATCAACTGGAAGCTACAGAACTGGCGGCACGTACGGTTCAGTGATGAATCAAATTTTCTCATCTCTCGACACGACCGACGTCGAAAAGAGAGGTTCGCTACTGGATGCATCTCCCAGGCCTTATCGTATGGTGGTGGCAGTGTGATGGTGTGGGGAGAAATCAGCCACACTGACAGGAGCAACCTGGTGAGAGCACAATGCAATCTGGCAGCCCAGGCCTACATCAAACAACGTCCTCCTACAACATGCCCTTCCATTGCTTCAACAACCAGGGGCAATCTTCCAGCAGGACAATGCCAGACCGCATGCTGCCAGAGTAACTAGAGACTTTAGGAACAATGTCCAGACACTCCCATGGCCTTCAAATTCACCGGATATGAACGCTATAGAACACATTTGGGATGCTTTGGACAGACGTCTCCGGAACAGAGTTGTCGCCCCTGCCACTCCAGATGAACTGTTTGCCGCCTTGGATGAAGAGCGGAGGGCAATACCACTCCCCAACATTCGTCATCTCATCGCCTCCATGCCTAGAAGATGTCAAGCGGTGCTCCAGTCAGCAGGAGGCCACACCCGGTACAGAATGGCCGCCCTTGCATGGACGGATTGGAGCATCCAATTGATTGTTCAAAATCAATTCAGCTTTGAGGATAATCAATAAACAGCAATGAAAAAAATTACAAAATGTATTTTCTTTCCTTCATTTATATCAAAAGTTATTCAGTGCTATATATACGATTATACACGATGGCCCATATGGTTAATTTATGCGTTTCTAGTATTTTTTAACAGTATAGTATTTCTGTCTTTCTACTGTGAAGTTGTATCTCTCTCAGTCCAGGTTGGCCCAAACAGACAGGAAAGGGGTGTAAAATAACCTACATTTAATTTATTTTTTTTTTAAACACCAAGAAGCAGGGCACGAAAGGCAGAATTATAACAATAATAAATCAACAACACAGAGATGTTTTCAACTGCTGGAGCATTAGGAGAAACATTAAACAAAAACAATATAAGCATACATAACAATCAAGAGAAAGATGTTTGCTTCTCGCCTCGACACCATAAGTATAAAAGTTGACAGAGACTGCAAAAGGTAGGCAAAGCGCATAATAAGTAAACTCCCTACGATACAATGCCATATTACCAATTACCAGACCAGCAATATTCTCAGTCAACAAGGTTCCATTTTTTCATTTCACCACTGAAATTCAAAGTAACATGGGCTTCTGAGCCACTGAACTTGGCAGGAGCAACAATCATAATAATATCCTTCTTCTGAGGAGCTCAATACCTATTTCACCTTGCCTTGCTGCCAAGTGAACTTATCTTCAAGATTTTTCAACTTCGCTTTAATTTTGCACCCAATGACTACTGTGAAATGCACACACAGTCTGAGTATACGCTTTTGACCTGACCGCCCCCAACCTCCAGCCCATCGATCAAGATTTTCTAGTACCTGACCTGCGCTTTCTTCAACCAATCTTTTCCTTCTTGGATTGATACGAATTCACTCTTTTTATCACATTGGAGGAGGACCAAAGCCCACCACATTTTTCAATATCCTTTGAAAGTTTCATTTTAGTTTCAACTTTCGTCAAAAGTATCTTTGGCCGTTAATAATAATATTGGTCACCCTTGTGCTACCAGAACTAGTAATACCTTTGATGGCAGTTGTTTGTTTACATCAGATACATTAAAAATCCAGTTATTTGACCCTGACTTCTGGCTCTGCGGGTGAATTTTTTTTTTACCTTACGAAGTGAACTAGGGTAGTGTAGTGAAGTTCGATTTTCTTCTACAAAACTAATCATTTTTAACAAAAATGACATTTCTAGAGAGCTACATGATATATCTATCAGTATAACTTGCCCCGGGAGCGTTTTCCATCGTTAATAAAAAAAATTTAGAAGATAAAATATATATTTTATAATAACTTTTTACACAAGCGTCGTTTAAACTCCGGGTGGGTTGTAAACTCTCCAGCGTCCAATTCTACTACAGAATCATGTGATTTCTACTGCCACCTACTACAATTAGCGATGGAAAATTCAGCTCGAATAAACCGCTAGAAACGGGCTGCGCTCTAAATTTGTAAAAATTTGTGTGACACGTGTTGTGGCAGAACGCGTACCGACCCTGTAGTTTTAACTAAAAAATGTATAATATTAGACATTTCTCCCCCCCATTGAACCTAATATGGAAACAAAAACCACATATATACCTCTCGTTTCATGTTGGATTAATGATGCTAGGCTAGAACTAATAAAGTTATGAGCCGAGAAAGAGGAAAAAAACGGGATTTTCGCAGAAATTCCCACTCGCCAGTCGAGCGTGAAACCCCCTAATTAAAATCTTAAAATGCTAAAAATTTTAAGTAAATAAATTTTTTCATTTAAAATAACTTTTTACATAACATTAAAACTTTTAAGGTTTTTCATAACTTTCCGTAAGGGCCAATGGCTTTTATAAAATTAAGGATTCTGTCGGGATCAACGACGGAAAACAGATGTTGCAAATTTTTACACTTAAAATATTTCCTTTGCGTCTCTCCTAAGCCTAAATGTTCTGTTAAAATGTGTCTAATGGTAAAATCTGTGTCACATCCAACACAAAACTGCTTCTCATCTCCCTGAAGGAGGTATTTATGTGTCAGGGACGTGTGTCCGATGCGTAATCGAATAAAAATGACTTCGGCTCTTCTAGAGAGGCCCGAAGGTTTTCATGGACCCAGTTGGAGCTTAATGTTGTGTAGTTTGTTGTTGGTTTGGTTCTTCCAATGGGTCTCCCACAGACTGGAAGTGTAGTGTTTGACTTTATTTTTAAAGTCAGTCTGTGGGAAGAGTGTTTGTCGTTGATCCCAAACGAAGGAACAAGGATTCCTTTGCCAGGAGATCCACCTGCTCATTTCCTTGGGTGCCCACATGGCTAGGAAGCCATGTGAACATGATACTTTTCCCAGTTTCAGTCAAAGCATGTATTTTTTGTTGTAACCTTACTATTTTTGGGTGTAAGAGTGTGTAGTTTGTAAGTGAGGTGATGCAAGACAGAGAGTCAGATAGGATAAGGAAAGATTTGTTGGGGGAATTTTCTACAGAGTCCAGTGCCAATCTGCCATGTCAATGACAGTGTCCTCCGCACAGAAAATGGAGGCTTCAAGATGAAGTCTCCTCTGGTGTGTACTGTTTGAAGATAGGGCAGCAGCCATCACAGGATAGTCTGATTTAAAGTGAGCCATCGGTGAAGATTAGCTCCGCACCAGGGTATTTTTTCTATAAGTTTTTTGTATTCTGCTTTAAATGTTTTGTTGCTTGTAGTCAGCTGTAAGTCAACTTTTGCCTTGGTGAGGTATCATGGAGGGAGGTTGGGGAAAAGAAATTGTTGAATGTCTTGTTTGGAAAAGTGTATGTTTTTTAGGTCCTCAAGGACTCGGAGGCCGAATGGTTTGATGAGTTTTTTGATGTTTTTGAATTTGTTTATAGTGTCTAGGTTTGTTTTGAAAATGCAGTCATGTGCTGGGTTCTCTGGTGTTGAACTCTGTTTAATTGCGTATTGTAGTGAGAGTTGTGGGCGTCTGAGTGTTAGTGATGGTATGCTTGCCATGGCCTGCAGGCTCCCCACTGGAGAAGTGCGGAAAGCCCCCATGGTGAGGCAGAGTCATTGGTTTTGTATTGGGTCTAGCATGTTTAGGTCATGGCGTTTTGTCAACAGCGATAGTCAAACCTGGATCGGACAAGGGAAATGTATAAGTGGAGAAGGTGTTCTGAGTCCCCACCCCACTCCGGATGCGATAAAATTTTCAAAGCGCTTAAAGCTTTCTGGCACTTCACACGGAGGTCTTTTATGAGTGGAATGAATGTGAATTTTTTGTCAAATATAATGTAGAGAAAACGAGCCTGGTCCTGGACGGGAATCCTTTCCCCATATAATGTCAAATCCAGCCTGCAGTACACATCTGCCTGATCGACAGAAGTGTACTGCAACCGTCTTATACAGGGAAAACTTGAAACCGTTATTATTTGCCCATTTTTCAAGTTTGTGCAGCTGCGTTCCATAGATCTTAGTTGAGGATTTTTCTAACAGCAACATATCAGAAACTCGTCAATGTTTAACGAGCTGCCTATGCCATTTTGAAGGGTCTTAACGACGGACTATTTTAATCTTGAATAGGAGAGGAGAAAGGATGCTTCCCTGGGGTACACCTTCCTCCTGTTGGTCGGGATTTTTTGAAAGGGAGGATCCGACATGAACCTGGAAGGAACGGTTCTTCAGGAAGTTTCCAATGAAGGCAAGGAGGTGATCGCGTATGCCGAGAGCATGCAGGTCTCTGAGAATGCCGTACTTCCAGGTTGTGTCGAAGGCTTTTTCAATGGCGATCATGTGGCCTCCTTCTGCAAACGTCTAGTGTATGAAGGTCTCCGTGTGGACCAGATGATCCAGAGTGGATCGAGTTTTCCTGAATCTGCACTGGAGACCACTCAGCCAACCCGTCATCTCAAGAAACCACCTGAGTCGCCTGGGAATCACTTTTTCTATAAGTTTGCATAGACAGCTCGTCAGTGCTATTGGTCTGTAATTGGATAGGTGTGTGTGTTCTTTGTTAAGTTTAAGTATTGGAATGACAGTAGCGAGACAACAAGACTCTGGAAACGAGTGCGACTGCCACATGTCAGAGTATAAATCTAGTAGGAGTGTTAAGTGTTTCTGTGGGTAAATGCTTAATGATCTGGTTGTGGATGTCATCTGGACCTAGGGCTGTATTTCCCAGGTCCAAGATGCACGATGTTAGTTCGTCTAATGAGAAGTCTGCATTGTAGGTTTAGGTGTTGTTGTCCTGTTAGTTTTGATGTTTTGAAAGATGGTGTTGTAGTTTGCTTTGGATAAGTTTTTGGAGAGAGAAGTCGCTATTGTGTTTGCGATGTCTGCCTGTGTTTCGCTGTGGTTCCATCCGGCCTCTGGACGTGCCAGATGGTGTCTGAGCGTATACCCAAAACTTTTTTAGCGATTTTAAAAATTAGGTTGAGTAGTGTCTGACTGTTGATTTTGGAGATGTATTTTCTTAACAATTGTCTTTTGCTCTCCCTGAGGCATCTACGTGCCTCAGCCCAAGCTTTTAAATAATTTATTTTATTTTCTGTGGTGGTGTTGTCGATGGCTCTCCGATATGCTGCCTTCTTGTTCATTACTGCATCATAACACTCCTCAGAGAACCAGATCTTGTTTGGAAGATGTTTATGGTATGTATTTGTGACATATTTCTAGAAGCGTTTCATGGAATTTGTTGTGAGGTCAAAAGTGGGGTTCAAAATCTGGGGACATTCAATGGTGAACCCGTCCCAGAGTGTTTTTGTTTTAATTGAAGCGTTCTGGGATCGGATCATTTTAGGGCTATTGTTTTTTAAAAGAATTGGGAAATGGTCTGTACGGTCATCCAGCACAGACCCCTCAAGTTCTGGGACTAGGTCAGGGGTACAAAAGGTGAGGTCAAAGGATGAAGTGCCAAAAGTGAATCTGTTTCTGTAAGTGGGGAGACCTGTCATTTAAGAGGAAAATATTATGAAACGAAAAAATCTTGTATTAATTTTCCTTTTATGGTGTGTGGGTTTGTCTTCCCAAAGGGGGCTGTGGGCATTAAAGTCACCTAGCAAAATAAAGGGTTTTGGGAGGTGGAGCTTTAAATCATTTAGTGGACTTATTTTGAGGGGGTAATTTGGTGGGATACAAAGGGAGCAGATCATGATTGGTTTGTGCAGGGTGACCTGTACGGCAAGAGCCTGGAGGGTCTGCTTAAGACGAACTTGTCTTTGAAGTGCCTTGTTGTCGGTGTAGAAGGAGGTTCAACCGGAAGCAATCTAATCTGGTTCTCCGTGTGAATATGATGATACACAGTAAATCCTTTTAAGTCTGTGGTTGTACCTGGGGCGAACTTTGTATACAAGTGGGCATAGTGTGGCCTGTAAGTGTTGCAATTCTTCATTGGAAGGTTGGAGTCAACCAGCATTCCATTGCAGGACTGTTATTATGAAGGATTTTTTACTTTGGAGCACATAGACCCTGGCTTCGAAGAAACACTCTGATTCTTCCTTGCGGGGGAGGCAGAGTGTTTTCTAGACTGCCGCCCTGGATTGGGCGGCGGCCTAGTGGGTGATTTGGGGGAGGAGTGGCCGGGGTAGGGGAGGAAGAAGACAAAGAAGGGATAGAAGAGGAGGGAGGGGAAGAAGAGAGGGTGGAGGAAGAGTCCACTCCATCCTCCCCTAGAACCCCAAATCAGTTAGACAGTGGCACTTCAAAGGTGGATGCCACAGAGCTAGAAGGGACCTTTTTCTTTTGTGCACAAAATCGCCTCTTGATCGCGGGCTCTGGGAAGTCAGCAGTAGAGGTACTGGCTGACTTCATGACTGGCCAGGCTGCCTTCGCATATGACTGGCCAGGAACAGGGGTAGCGATTAGCGGGCAGACAGCTTTATCTTGAACAGAAATAGAAATATTTGAGATTGAAAGAGTCAGGGGGTTACTTGGTATCAGTGGTAAAATTAACTAAAGTTTGGTGATGCCCTTTGATCAACATTTTTCAGTAAATCCACACAGAAACAGAACGGTCATGAGCCCATGGCCCAAAACAAATTGATCAAAATAACCCAACAGGTAAAAAAAACATGTTGGTTTCTTCTATTTCATTATTTTGATGAGCGCCTGATTTCACCATGTTGCCACACATACATAATCATACTATCGCAGACACAAACCCACACATCACACAAAGATTGTATTCACCCAAAGACTAACAACTGACCTGTGTGTGACCGGAAGTGGACCTTGAGCTGTGTCCAGGTCTTGAAGCTCTTCTCACAAACCTTGCACTGATGCTTGCGGTCTTTCGAGTGCTTGTGAAAGATGTGGTTGTTGAAACTGTTACGGTTCTGAAAAGCCTGTCAGAAAGAAAAGGACAGCTCACGCCATTTATCTCATGGAAAATGAGTTAACTACACTTCACTTATTCTGTACGCAATTATACAATCCCAGTGTGAATAATAATATGTATTCACATAACAAATCGAAAAAAATTCAAATGCGTCTAATCATCATCATCATTGCCTTTCTCACCCACCACCAGGATATAGGCCGCGAACTAACACTTTCCACCTTTCTCTATCCTGGGCTAGCCTCTTGGTGTTATTTCATGTCTTCCCACTTTTCCTACTTTTCTGTACATCCAAAATGCGTCCAATGCTGTGTCAGTAATCAATAACAGCAGCACAGCATTCAGCTAGACCTCCTCTTCTTCTTCTTCTTTTTCTCCTCCTCCTCCTCCTCCTTCTTCTTTTTTTCGTCTTCTTCTGTTTCTGCTACTACTGCTAGAGCACTTCCCTGTTAGATCTAAAATAGACGATAGCAGGTTCTTCACCTTACAGTATAATTTTATCCTGCTGGTAAGTAGGCAGTGTCCTTCTCATGCCAGGCAGACATATTTGATTACACACACCAAGAGACACGCCAGGCTCTCTATAAAAAGACCTATAAGCCAGTGGAGTTCTCACTTGACAATGTCCATAATTCAGAGGTGTTAACTGGATATACACCCAAAAAAATCATACACTTTTCAGATCCCATGGAAACGGGGACTCAGATTTCATAGATCATTTTGCCAAATGCATCTCGTATCAAGATTACTTTTATATATAAAGTGCAACTACTTCTCAATGATCAGCCTGAAATCAGGCAAAAATTCCAAAGAATCTCAGGAATCTGGGTTTTCAGATTTATTCAGAAGTTCGGCACCTCTGGTAAGTTTGTCCCACCGAGAGAGTACCTGTCCACAGTGCGGGCACGTGAAGCCCGACTCCTGACTCTGGTGCGTGCGCTGGTGTTCCTTGAGCATGAATTTGGTGTGGCATTCCTTGTCACAGATGTCGCAGCGGTTGCTGCTCCAGCCAGGAGGAAGCGGCATGCCGTGTTTGAAGTAGCGGTGGTAGTGCAGGTAGTAGGCCCTCCCTACCGTGCTGTGGTAGCCACACAGTTCGCAACTCTAAATGAAAGGGGAACAGCAGTTTCGTTTGAGTTTTAGTAAAGGTTTTACAGCGCTTGCAAGTTGCAACTGTATAAGGTCATACGAGAGCCAAGGGGTGGATGTCAACAGAGAAGTCCTTACAGGGAATCAGATTTACTCTGCTCACCTCTCTAGCTTCATCAGCACAAAGTCTGCTTCAACTATCAAGGCACCCCGGAAATAGTGGGTCCCAAAAGAGTGACAAACATACAAAAGACGTAGAGGAAAATGACAATAGTAAGGATTAGGAAAGAAAAAGCAGCAGTTCCCTGTTGCAGTTCAGGCATAGTTATGAGCGTGACATGATGAATCAGCCCATTTACAATTCTACTGCGCTTGAACGAGAAATGTCTCTCCTTTGGGAATGGCCTAAAGACACTACAGTCAGTGGCACTGCCCCGGGGGGCAAAGGCACTTCAAGAGGATAACAAACACAAAAAAGGAGGAGAGATAAGGACGATAGATGTTCGACAGGAAAGAAGGAGCAAAACATACCAGAGCACCTGCCAACACGTGGATGCAATACAATTATTCCCCCCACCGAGCCTACAGGGGGGCAAGACACCTAATCCCACACAAATTTACTGGGAAGACAGATGTTACATGAACCTTGAACAATCCACCCTAAAAAACCCACCAGATCAGGACTTTAGCTTTAGTAAGAGTTTTACGGCACTTGCAACACAATTAGGTCATATAAGTGCCGAAGATTAGAGGTGTTACAAGAGAGTAACAAACACAAAAAAAGAAGGAGGAGAGATAAGGACAATAGATGTCTGATAGGAAAGAAGCAAACCACACTAGAGCACCTGCCAACCAACCGCAGATCAGGACTACAACAACAGTCATTTTCACCTGAGAAACATCCTTCCCTTGGCCTATTGTCACCTGCTCCAGCACACAGTCTGGCTCTGTGCCATGATTCAACACGTGCTTGATGGTGCGCCGCGCACTCTTCACCACAGCCTGACATAGCTTGCAGATGAAATGATTCCTCTGGGGCTTGTCAGACTTGGATCGCTTTAAACAAAAAACAAACAAAAAAGGAAAAGAGATAAATTTAACACAATGGTATTAAGTTGTGAAAGATAATAACAGTGTTTTACTCCACCATCAGCTTGGAAGGACGGCTCAGGACAGAGATAAATGGAAGGAGCTTGTTTGTGGCTGCCAGGGGTGAAAGGCATTGATGATGATGATGACTCCACCATCAATTAAGTTTAAGTCATTAAAAAGGCAGGCACCTTCAATCATTCTTGCCAAGGCACTTGAAAAAAAAAAAAGAAATACTTGACAAAATACTTTCCCTATATTGGGAAATCAAACTTATTTCCTTTTCTTTTCATAACCTACTGAAAACATAATTCATTTAACAATTTTAATTTGTGACGTTACTCTCACTTTTCACCACTTCTAGATTTAGATCAAATACTAGAAAACTAGTAGCATATACCACACAAATGTCTTGTAAACAGAATGAAAACAAATATACTTTACAAAATAGCCTGCCACTCTCAATGGTCTGCCTAGCTATGCAGATTGTACAGTACAGTAAGGTGACAACAGACATCATGTGCACTTTTACTAGGAGATCAACAATTAATTACTTAGCCTTGTGCAATGAGCCGACATTCAAAAACAGCATTTATTCGCCGTTCATTAGCAGATTGCAAACATTCTCAGAAAAAAGAAAAAAATTAAAACACATCTGTCTGCCCCGCTCAATATCAGTTGTAAGACGCACTGAACTATTATCTGCTACGAGGCTCGAAAGGCAAAAAAGTGACTTTCCATGAAAATATTTGTTTTTTGGACATATTGAAAGTTTAATGTCTTCTTCTTCAATTAAGATAAAAATAAACCATAATCTACCACAAATATTTTATTTTGATTTATTTTGGAGGTGAGTGTGGTTTGTTGTGAGCTTGGGTGACGAGATAAAGGAATTTGGACCTTGCTATTGCGTAGCTGTGAAATTATTTTTAGAACCATTACCTCATGGCCACCTTTGCTTCAACCAAAGATTCTCCACCAGTGGAAAATCTTTGCTCCAATGTTTTTCGTTCGTAACTATTTTTTTAGATTTTGACCCCTTTTCGAGCATGAATGGTCTGAAATGTAAACAACTCTGATTGGTAAAACAGAGTAAAAACGGGAACTTCTAGCTCACTTTAAGCTTGTTTACGTAAACAGCTGACTGTATGGGTGTGCTCTGCTAGCTGCTATTGCCTGTTGATCTTTCAGTTTTACACTTGGATTGACTTTTTTTAAATTGAGTTTTACAGCTTTTAAAAGATTAATTAACCTTCCTCTAGATCTCTCAGAGCGGACTCCTAACCAAGAGGCCACCGAGGAGGTCTATGTGCATGTGTGAGTATCTGTGTTGGTGTGTTTGTATATGTGTGTGTGCGTGTGCGTGTGCGTGTGTGTGTGTGTGTGTGTGTGTGTCTGTGTGTGTGTGTGTCTGTGTGTGAGTGTGTCTGTGTATGTGCTCTCGAGTGTTTATGGTGAAATTGTAAAGGCATAATCAGGTAGCGTAAAAACGGCACGTAAGCAGACTTGCGTCCTTCCGAGCGTGAGATTTTGGCGAAATGGGGATAATTCAGATCTCTGTTTCTTTGCTCTTTTGCTATAAAACACCAAATGCTGAAAACTTTTGAAAAAGTTCTGATTTTTTTCGTTATAATACTGTAAGTTGTTTGTATATCCGGGTATTTGGAGCGGGAGAATTGCCGTGGAAAAGGAAGCCCTTCGCGGTCGGAATGCGAGGTCCCCCGTTTAAAATTGACACCCATGCATTCGAATGCTTTGCAGAAATTGGTTTCCCGTGGTTATTATTTTTGGCCTTAGGAGTTAAGAAAGAAAACCTTGAAAAAAAAGGGTCTAAGTTTTCAAAGATCATCTAACTTTAACACGAAATGTGTAAAATACCGGCTAAAAAAGATACCAATAGAAAGAACAGTTTTTTTCCTTTAGAATAAAGTCATCGGCTTAGAATTATTTTGCATGAATCCTGCGAAACTTCCGGGAGCACTCAGTATACTACAGTATTGAGCCAGAAAGGCTCGCCAAGAAGCTGGTGCGACGCCAGTCGAGACAACCCTCTGTGTTTTTATTGAAATAACGACAGATCATCGAGTTTGAGGCAATAAAATACTGACTTGTAATGATCTCAAAGTCTTGAAAAATATTAGGCTTCATTTCTATGCTATAGTGAATGTACTCTTTCATGTAGAGATGTTTGGTGCACTTGGTACTCTTTTACTATCTGTCAAACATGGGGCTGCAGCCAGTAAACGACTTCAGCAATATTTTATTATTATGCTGAATTGAAACAGCTGACATTCTCTTAAACATTGACTGAAAGGTAAAAGTATGATACCAAAATTCTCAGGAGACACATATGGAAACACACACAAACACACACTCACACGAACGCAGAGACAGGCCTACAGAATGCACATATATATGCCTACACATTGGTACACATTCACTTTAATAAACACACATTGGACACACACGCACTCACACAAACACAGAGAGAGAGAGAGAGAGAGAGAGAGAGAGAGAGAGAGAGAGAGAGAGAGAGAGAGAGAGAGAGAGAGAGATTTAATTTTTTTTCTTCCACATTTCAAAATGATTTATAGATTTGAAAGGCCTTTGGCCCATACATCCACACATTTTAACATATGGCTCAGCAATTACATACAATGATGCAGCACATCGGATATTTAACATAAATTGGACACGCATGCACACACACTTGCACGCAAGCACACACACACATACACACACATGCACACGCACGCGCACGCACACACACACACACACACACACACACACACATACATACACACATACTTACATGCATGCCTACATACTACACCTACACACATACCGTACATATCATACATATATACATGCATATACGTACATGCATAAGACGTGTTTTGTCATCAGTTTGTATTAGGATAAATAGCAATTATTAAAGAAGTAAGTATGGAACAACACACGTATCCACCCATTGACATACGTAAATGACGTATTTCAGGAAAATAAGAACACACAGAAATAGAAATGCCACACAGTAGTATGAGAGAGAGAAAGAGAGAGAAAGGGAGAGGGAGAGGGAGAGGGAGAGGGAGATGGAGAGAGAGAGAGAGAGAGAGAGAGAGAGAGAGAGAGAGAGAGAGAAGACACTCAATTTTCCAACATCCATCAATTTCAATCAAAACAATATCCCCACAAGATCAAAACTACGTTTGGCTCATACACAACGAAACAATGAACTAAACCCCACCTGCTCAAGCAACAGCGTCAACTCCGTCTCCACAGAAATATTCCTCACGTCTGCTGAGCTCGGCAACACCACCGACTCCACTTTCCTGGATTTACTGCTGTTCTCTTTGGATTTCTGCAAAAGACCCAACATCAGAAACCTTATACACAAAGAAATGTTTTCAATGCGAAGGCAGGAACCAGTTCGTCATAAAACTTCCTGTTTGAGAAAATTAAAAAGTAGTAAGTAGCAAACAAGGTTAATGTCAACTTTATTTAGACCTATTCCCCACAGGAAATTCAGTTTATAGCCTTATTTATCTACGTACTTTGACTACTCATCCCCAGCAAGCCGCCCCCCAGCGGCTCGCTGTCCGAATCACTGCGCCGGTAAGCCGCTGGGAGCAGCACAGGCAGACTCCTTTATAACGACTTTAGACTTCAAATTAGTTCTTTTACCAGTCCATTCATTAGATGAAAAAATATCAGAAAAGGTTCACTTATTTTGATTTAATTACTAGTTTAATGATGTATATGTCCCGTTATTTCGCACCAAAAGAGGGCCGTGATGTAGTGGGTTAAAAGACAGATTTCACAAATCACCAGCACGAAACATCATGCCTTAACCAAATACACACACAGGGATTACCTGGACAAATGACTATAAACTTTTCCATATGTACCGTATCGCATTAATTTTTACCTTCTTATACATAACAGAGGGGGGAAAAATCATTCACTGCAACCAGCAGTCTTTGACAAACAATGGCCTTATACTTATACTTCCGTTATGTTGTTTCACAAGACAGAAAGTAGTGAGGCCTTATGCAGGACAACCACTATGATCTGCTATGACTAAACAGTGCTTATTTCTACCGTCACAAGGGGGGAAAAATGAAAGAACGAGAAAGTCCACGGAGCATTTTAAACTCCATATACCGTCATAAAGCTCACCTGTTTCTTCATCACCGTCGACTCTTTCGCCTTAGATTTTTCTGCAATGGTTGGTCTTTTCATTGGTTTGGAGAAAGACTTCCGAGGGACAGCCCTGGTCGAAGCTCCTTTCAACCAGCTGGACTTGACAGTTCCCACCGTTACTGCGCTTCGCTCCCTGACCTGCCCGGACGGAGCTGACTTCTTGCCCTTTGCACTGACCACACCATCCATCCTTTCTCTTTCCGCTTTCTTAGAACTGGAACCAAAGCTTTCTTCTGCAAGAGTGTCTTTTTGTTTAAATCTAGCGGATGCCTCCTCCTCAACACTATCAGACTGGACCGAGAGAGGGTCACTTGACTTGTTCAGGACACAGACAGATTCATTCTCATCAAGCACCGAATCAGATTCCTCTACATTTGGGGCACTGTTTCCTCCAAAGGTCGAGTTATTTTTTCCTCTAACACTTGTGAGATGATTTCCTCCTACAGCTGGGGTATTTTTTCCTCTTACATTTGAGGCACCACTCCCTCCTACAGCTGAGACATGTTTTCCTTTCACACTTGAGGAGGTATTCTTTCCCGCTGTCAAAGACGCAGTATTTCTCTCTGCTTCAGATGCCTCATTCTCCAAATTTGGATCTTTTGTAACTACTGATCTGAGCGAACTGTCAATACAGGGGTCCACAGAACAGCTTTGTAGAGAATCACTCGCCTTTGGGACACCAAGATTGTCACCTGGTGAGTCTCTACCAAGTTTCTCGCACTTCTCCATGGGGTTGTGCACATCAGCTCCTGGGAGCTGGTCAGCCACCACATTTTTATTACTCCCATCACACTCTAGCCTTTCATCTGAAGACGGCCGCCCTGACGCTCGCAAAAACTCCAGCTCCATTTTGGCCCTTTTCTTAGGCGGGGGTCTCACTTTGGACAGAAAACCCCCGACCTCACTAGACAAAGATTTCTTCTGCTTGCTCCGGCCACTGCTGCTCCCGCCCTCCGTGTCACTTCCTGTGTGTTTCCTCTGTCGCACCTTGCTCAGCCCCAGCCCTCCATCTATCTCCAACAAATGTAGCTTTTTGACCTTCACCTTCACATTGCCCAGGCCAACGTCTTCTGCTAACAAAGATTTTCTGGAATGACATGAGAAAGGTGGAAGTTATAACAGAAATATAGGATTCATAAGCACATAAGTACATAAACATGCAGATACTTAGCACTCACACAAAGTCTTCCTTTGTTTACAACAGGGGTGCCAATTAGTTTATTTTAAAAATCCCGAACTTTTGAAACCCCCTGGAAATGATGACAAGAATGTATAGATCATGAGCAAGGCGTCGCAGTGAAATCAGGGGCTTGTTAAATCAATAAAATCGAACAAATCAGCATTTTCCCGCCACTCTGGCAATTTTTTTCCCATTTTTGTCTTTTTGGCTCAACATCTTTTGTGTCTATATTTCTGTATGGATTTAACTAAAAACATTGATTAAAGGCACAAAAATTGTAAATTTTATAGTTTCCAATATAATGGAACTCGCCAAACTTTGGCGGCAATTTTCTCGCTAATTTTACCTCTGTAACCAGGCGACCTCCCACCTCCTTCAATCACAAATATCTCGACTTCTATTTAAGATAAATGGTTATTTTTTATTTTGTCATGAAGAGCAAGGCAAATGAACACGATTTAAGATGATACTAATTGACAATTGCCTGATTCCACAGTGTCATGACACATACTGTCTAATTGTCAGAGTCATTTCGTATCATGACTATTTTTATATACAAGTGCAAAATGCAGACAGTTTCAGAAATCTAAATTTCCAGATTCATCCCGAGTAGTAAGAAAAAAATTATATCAACAAAATCATGATCAACAAAGAATGCAAAAGAGAGGACAACATACAGAAATGACAAGGGTCAGGAGAAAAGACATTCTCTCAAAAACACACTCCCACAAGCACAAAAATTATTTGCTTTTTAGTAAGAGTTTTACAGCACTTGCAACACAATAAGGTCATATAAGTGCCGGAGATTAGAGGTGTTACAAGAGAGTACCATACACAAAAAAGAAGGAGGATAGATAAGGACGATAGATGTTTGACAGGAAAGAAGGAGCAAACCACACCAGAGCGCCCGCCAACACGAACAAATATTATTTATAAGCATAAAAAAGAAAATAACCCAAATCTACAGGGGTGAAATGAGGTGGGGGGGGAAGGGGTAGGATATGTGAAAATAGCAAAAAGTACAGCTGGCGTCTATTATGTCGTGGTAGGCGTTTCATTGTCCTACGTAGAAGGCCTAAATTTGATTCCTTTTAGGGGAGAACTTTTAAAGCATATCTCAGTCTTTCTGCAGAGACGTTGTATCCGTCTCAGCCTGGGTTGGCCCTGACAGGCAGATTCAAAGTCTGCCTCCTAAATTATTTAAGTGGGTGGTTGGCGGGTGCTCTGGTGTGGTATGCTCCTTCTTTCCTTTCCAACAGTCTATCATCCTTATCTCCTCTCCTTCTTTTTGTGTTTGTTACTCTCTTGTAACACGTCGGCACTTATTTATCCTATTGTGGTGCAAGTGCCGTAAAACTCTTATTAAAACTAAATTATCTAAATTAGTGTTAATGAGGACGTAAAAAATCACCTATATTAACATCATTTACACCATTTACGACTTACTTCACTTTGGTCCTGCGGTTCCGCTTAAAGATTTTGTGGTGGAAAGTGTGCGAGTCTTCTTCCCGCGACGCCAGGTCCCTGTCTGACCCGTCAGCAGATGCCGCGCTCTTCCCTGACACAGGAGACTTGTTACTGGTGCGTAATCCTGTACCGAGGAGAATGGTGAACCCTGTTAGGTTATTTAAGAGGCACGACTTCCGAGTTCTATGTCCATCTCCAAAAGGACCGAGCCAAGTGTGAATTCCTGTAAAGAGCCTTTCCCAAGGACACAATGTCAGACAGAGCTGAGGCCAGAACCCCCGAACCTGCAATCTCATGATTATGAGTCTGGTAGCCTAACCACAAGGCTACCGATGCCACTAAGTAAAATGGTAACACAGCAGACATGTACAAGCATACCTAAATGATGATATAAGGAGAAAAAATCATTAGAAACCCACTTTACTTTATATCAATACAGAATGTATAGGAGGATGCCTGATAAAGAACCAAACGTTTCTCATTACTTTCACATAGCCTGGTTTTTTCATCTAATTCTCACTTAAAACTATTTAAGTTATTTCTATTTCAGTTAACTAATGGATTTGGAGAGTAGTTGGTTGGAGGGTGGTGTTTGGAGCTTTCTTTCCTTTTTGTTTTTCTATGGGGATGTTTAATAAAGAACAATACAGTCGATCCTGCCCTGACGGCCAACTCTATAAGACGGCCACCTGTACAAACGGCCGCTTTCTATTTCCCTCCAGGCGTTTTTTCTATATAATTTAACTGTGTAAAACGAGCACCTATCTAATGCGGCCGCAGCCACCATATTTTAACACACAACCCCTATCATACTAAACAATAACACCTGTCTTAGACGGCCACCTTAGTGACTCCATTACGTTTTGTTAAAAATCATGCATTGTTGGCCCCTGCCGTTGTGGGTGAGCCGTCAAATCCAATCACCTGTTGCATTTGTTGTTAGGTAGTCCCTCCAACCCATCATGTCGCGTAGGCCCCTCCTACTGTTGACCAATAGGTAACAAATTTTCAGCTGCTGGTGAGGTAAGCGTGTGATCCCCCCATAACCCATAAGCCCTGCCCAGAACTCATACAAAAATCGTAAGTGAGATGTGTGGTCACTGTTTACCCAGTCTGTAACAAAGTAGCAATGGACGTCAACATGAACTTGTAACAGAAGCGTTGCTCGTTCTCCGAGGGGAGGCGACCCGTGTGTTTGTTTTACCATAGCACCCGGTCCTCCTTGTCTGACACATTTGGTTTTATTTTCACCCTTGCACAAAAGCAGCAACAAAAGAAGAAAAAAAACAAGAAAAAAAACAGCGAAAACAACAACAACAACAATAACAGCAACAACAACAATGCGGCTGCCTTCAGTTGGGACCTCAGAAAGGAATGGTTTGTTTTCTTCATCTTGGTCAGTCCTGCTTAAGACGGCCACCCGTCTTATACGGCCACTTTTCTCCTTGACAATGGGTGGCCGTCTTACACAAGTTCAACTGTACCTTGCCCACTGCATTAAATGTAGTTGTGCAAAACTGGGGAGGATTCCTTTTTCCATGATTACATTTCACCTCCTATTATTTCTGAAAAAAAATCATCTCAGCTTGTCTTCTATTCTACCAGACAGAAAAAAAAATGTCATTACCAGTCGAAATTTGTAAATGATTTCTCATGCTTTGTTGGGTCGATCAAAAATATCTCAAGCAAATTACAAAATGTCTCAAGACCATAAGACTGAAGGTTTCACTATCTATATTAAAAGATAGAACCCTGGGGGGGAAAAAACTAGACTTGCGTTAAAAACGGATGTTACGCCCAAAAGGAAGAGCCATAAAGGTCCCTTCAACATACGGCTGCCCCACACCCCCACATATAATGCCAATATCACTCATCACCAAAATTTAATCTCTGCATACGGCACACATCAAAAAGTGTAGAGAGAAAATGTTATACCACCACAGGGGTGACTGCACATACCAGTAGCAGCTGACAACGGGTCGGAGAGAGGCGACACGTCCATAGAGGAGGTCGCGGGTACCAACTGCCTGCTGTTCTCCTCAGTCCCCGGGTTTCGACCAAATCCCACACTGGACACATTCAGCGTCTGGAGACCTGAGGGGGCAGTTGTTGCAGCCTCAAAGTTCTTTGCTGGTGCTTGACCACTGGTCACACTCATACATGATGTCATCAGGGCATCTCTGACAGAAGATACGTTGACAGACAAGCCACTTGAGGTGACGCCGCAAGCTGACGACACCCCAGAGTCGCATGACGCTGCTATCAGACTGTCAAAAGTGACGGGGAGCAAGTTGCTTTCTGATGATGTGGTGAGTACAGCATTATTGACAATCGACTGGCTCAGCGGTTGCTGAGAGCTGGCCATTGATGAGGATGCTCCAGATTTCTCTGAATTCATCTGCTGGATAAGCCTTTTTCTAAACCCTTGAGGTGTGGAAGACTGCGAGGTGATTTTGATCTTCGATGGGGGAGGGCTCACCTCAGGTGGCTGAAGAGATCTAAGAGGTGAAGATACAGAGAGTGTGGATGCGGAGGCTGGTGGACCACTAGCAGAAGATGGGGAGGTACGCAGCTCCGAGTCGAGATCGCGAATAACCTTCTGGAGGTCAGCATCCTCTGAACCCATGTTGTTGACAATTGACTCCAGAAGATGACTCACAGAGTTGCTACCCCCTTCCCATATCTCTGAGTCACTTACGTTAGATCTGTCAGGGATTCCAAAAGATGAACTTCGAATGCTCTTCAAATCACCAACACTCTCTCTTGCATTCTCTGCAGTCACTGATTTGGTTTGCAGATTGTCCTTCCCTATGGAATCCTTTAGAACCTCCTCACTGCATGACCTGTGAACAATGCTCTTCTTGAAAGATCTCTTCGCAGACTGTCTGACCATAGCAGAGTCAGGGTGTTTCATCATAACATCAGGCACCTTAGTTACCTCCGTCACGCCTACTGATTTCCCAAACTGAATACTCACAGGATCTTTGCCTTCTGCAGAGTTCAACACTTCCAAATTCTGCACATTCTCAATCTTACTGTGACCACTGCCACTTCTGACAGGGGTCGACAGTTCAGAGCCACAAACAGCCATCTCATTTCTGGCAGCTGATTTGATAAACTCCTTCTTTTTTGACAAAGATGAAGGTTTTTCTCTCTGGCCGGTAGACACTTTCTTCCGATCAAGCCCCGAAGCCAGTGCGGCATACGACACAAAGTTTCTGTTGCCACCTCGGGCCCAGCGTGTCCCGTAACTGTGAGCAGAGAGTTTTGCGGCTGCAGCAGCTTCTGCAATCTCCACTGTCGTGCGTGCAGTCTTGGGTTCTACTGATGGAGAGGATACAAAACAGGACTTTTTCCTCTCTCCATCTGCCCTAGACGACGACGAAGAGGTAGTGCTCCTCTCCACGATAACATCATCAACATTTGGTTTTCTGTCCCTGACACAGGGAATTCTGCTCTCCTCCAGCCTTGAGTTTGAATCAGATTTTGACTCAATTCCAACACAGCTATCTTTCCCTTTCCCTGAAGGACATACCGTTGCAGAACTACTCAACTGAAGAATTTCCCCAGCACCAGAGCCACTGACACTCACAGATTCCATCAGAGCATCTGATGTACATGTTTGCTTGGGAGACAAGCAGCCTTTTTTCCCAACTTTCAAAGCAGTCTGAGAGGAGGCAGGATTGTTGTCACTGGACACACCGACTTTAACTCCTAACACTCTACTCTTGGACGGTGACACAGTCTTCTGCTTCGTCTTCTTCAGCATGACCCACTCCTCCTGTCCACGTTCTCCGGCCTCGCTGGTCGAGCGGTCAGTCTGAGTGGAAGCATCCATCGACCAGTCCCAGCGACCAGTATTGACCGCCCGTTCCTCATACACCTTCCCCCCAGCAGCTGCAGTTGCGTCAGTGGAACAACTCTTATCCCTTTTCTTAAGCACTGGTGTAGAGACTACAAGCTGCGGTTTTTTAACTTGACTGCTCGAGATCCTCATATGAGTCATCACGTCACGGCATAACTTTTGCACAGATGGCATGCGGAGACTGGACGCCAGAACATACACATCCAGCACATTAGTGTGGGTCAGCGGACCATGACCCACGTAGACAAGGCTGAGGAAGGTGGAAAGGGAGCTGGACTTAATGCTGTCACAGTTGACCACCAGCATGACAGACGGAGAGGACCCCTGGCTTGGCTCCGGTGGTCGCATCGTGTGCAGCAAGGCGGTCAGCTCCTGGCTAAGGGAACACAGCACAACTTGGTGCACCTAAAGAATGAAAGAAAAACTGAATGAAAAACTGAAAAAGTAAAAAAAAAAAATTATTAATGAAACCTTAACATACCAAGGAATAATGAATTAACAAGCATTGACAAGAAATTACAAATGACAAAGTTACCAGCAAAAGTGGCTGTCAAACAGGCTAAAGAATTATGCAACTTATCTCCACAGCCACCTCAACAGCAATACAGGTCCCTTGGCAAAGTAATGTAATGGAGCCCCTACCAACATACAAAAGTACTGTTTAGTATAAATTTATCAACAACAAATTCTAACGCTCATAGAATAAAATAGGACCCTCTGCCCATGATGCCACCAGTTATCATTGCGGAGCAAACAATACAAAGTTTAACCCTATAACCTACCCCTTGTGAAAAGAATAAAACAGTTCCCATCCATCCAACTTCCACTTATTAATTGAACCTATAGAGATTAAAGTGAAAGCTACATAAATCATCGAATGTATGTGACCCCTCTTAAAATTATAATTCAACATTTGTACATTGACTTAATACACTATAAGAGGCCATGGAATAAAAGACACTGAAAGTGTTTGTAAAAAAAATAAACGGCTGTTTTTTAACTAATTTTGGAGCCCCTATAAAAATATATGTATTCTGGCAAGGGGATGAAACGTTAATTATAAAATCAATTCATCATCTTTAGCAAAGGGACAAATTAAATATGATGTTTTTTTTACCTCAATTGACCTATGAGGGGTTTTTTTTTCAAACAGTAAAGAAATAATTTTATAGTCAGTGCTTTTCATATTTTTTCCCCTGACATTCATCCCTGAGTCTTTATCAGAAAATATGATTTTGAATTTTCTTATGAATGTTTCTGTAAATGTAAGTTACCTCTCTAGATCTATTTGCCAAGAAAACAAAATAATTTTATCCTTCAGAGAACAATTTATCTAGTTCAGAGGCTTCTTAAAAATTCAAAGAGATTTTGCAAATTGAAAACTCACTTTGATGGAGATGTTTGGAGTGGAGAGTACCGCATCACAAAACTGCTCTTGCTTCATCATGGAGTAGAGATTCTGACGAGATGAAGACAATATTTCAGATTCTCTCTTCGCCATTGATAATCCCGACTGAGTCATGGTTGACATATTATCAGAGCGGTGATCACTGCCAGCAGTTAAGGTATGCATCCGGTCAGAGGTCAATAACTGCCTAACGGCAAACTCTATCATAGGTGCCATTTCTTGCCTGGGTCTTGTCGTGTCCGTTGCAGTATTGCCAGGCGGAATAAATTTGTCGGTCATGGTTTCTGAGGTAGTTTGCTCATTGTGGAAGCCAGACATGACAGGAAGCTGGAAGGAGACGTCTGAATCAACAGTTGCAGTTGAGTCCGTTTCCAGAAGCACAGATTCCATACTCGCTGAATGGGAGGGGAAAGGAAGTGAGGGGGGGCCACTAGCGGTATCATGTGAGACGGACGACAATGCTAGCCGCTTGAGGATGTGATTATCCAGTTCAGAATTGACTGAATGGCCGATACTTGTCTCTCGCTTGTTGCCTCCTCCAATGGACGGATCCATCTCTATCTCGCCTGGTGGAGGAGGAAGGAACGGGAAAGCCTGGTAGTGCGACATCATGGGTGGGTTTTCTGGTGCTGAATTATGCTGGTTGCTGAGGCTGAGAGACGGGGAATCCAACAGCCCTGGGACCGGAGCTTCATCCATGAAGCCTGACGTCGACCCAAGAAAGTGCTGATCAGCAAGAGCCATACTCTCTAACTGGTGCTTGGTCTGAAAAGTCTTCTTAGGGCTAGAGACAAGACTGCTAACTGGCTGCTGTGGATGTTGCTGTTGGTGAAGCTGCTGTTGAGACTCAAGCTGCTCTCTCTGTTGATGTTGTTGCTGTTGCTGTTGTTGTTGTTCTTTGAGCCTTGCCTCTTCTTTTTCATTTTCCTGAAGACTCTCCAAAGCCCGCGTCAGGTCTCTAGGTGTGCGAATACCTTTCATACTCTCTTTGGCCGAAGTCTTTGTTAACTCTTTTTGAAGTTCTGAAACCTCTCTCATCTGCTTCATACTGTTCAGATCTGACCCATCATTCTTCTCCCGTTCTTTGAAAATGGAAGAAGTATCTGGTAGCACAGTCATTTTTTCTGACGGCGATTTCTGATACAAGGTCATATCTTGGGGAATATCAGTGCGATCAAAGTATGGCTGACTCAGATCACGTTGTGGCTGGCTGTTCATGTACTCCTCAAAATTAAAATCGTTGTCAGCAGAGCCAGTCATACAACCAATGTCTCGGATCAGCTGAGTCTGTATTTTCCTGGAAAAGGTAATATCTCTATCCACACCCGTCCCAAAATATGCTTCGAGAGGGAGGTCCTGCTGTCCATGCCCACCGATGTTCATGTCCGAAAAGGCTAGCTCTGCTTCACCGGTATGTGCAGGGTCCATCGGGGAATCAAACGACAGGTCATCAGGGCCAGCGGCGGCATGCCCAGCGTCCATGTCAAAATCTTTGTGAACCTGCAGCGCCAACTGTTGATTCATATCCAGCTCCCTCTGAGATGAAGTTGTCAGAGAGTGTTGTAAATCCAAGTCCAGCTGGGGACCTGACAGAAACTGATGATCAGTGAGTAAGGAGGAGTCCTTGTGCATTACAGGCATAGAAAATGAGACAGGGTCCAAAGTAAGGCCATGAGAGCTGAGAAGACCTGATTCTTTAGGGAGAGCAAACTGCCGATCTGCATCATCCGCCCTGCTACGGCTAGTCAACCTTCTCTGTTCATGCTCTGAGGCTCTCAACTCCAGTTCTTCTTCCATGGTCAGGAAAGTCCTAGAATTATTGGTCACATCTCGTTGGTTTTCACCGCCGTGATAAGCCACTTTGCCTTGGACTTCCGTTCGCAATGCATGCTGGTCCTTCATCGTCTCATAACCTCCTTCCTCAACACCAGCGTGTAAGGCAGCACCGACACTTGTACTGGCTACTTCAACTGCTCCATGTCTCATCTTTAACCCTCCACCACCCAGAAGCCTCGCCATCTTGCGGTGGGCCCGTGGCCGACCATTCCACTTCCCAGCATCTCTGCCAGTCTCATCTGTTTCCTTCACACTGCTGCGTGGATTTCTCACAGTTTCTCTAAATTCATCGCTTGTTGCAGTTTTCCCCATATCGAACTTGTATTTGTGGTGACTAGATACATCAGCTGGAGTAGCATGGAACACTGGGTCTAAATCAGAAGAAATACTCCCAAAATGCTGGCTCAAGGAAGGTTTTTTTTGTACAGCCTCAGCCAATCTCAAACTTTCAAAATCAGAATTATCTCCAAAGCTGAAAGAGGGATATGCCATATGAACCCTTTTCAGTTCATCACTGGGTTGCTGTGGGCTGGAGGAGTCAACAGGCAGAGACACACCAGTGTATTGCTGATTAGAATCTGACATTGGGACGGTATTGGAGTACTTTTGGGGTATAGTTACATGAGAGGAAGAATCCATGCTTGCCATGCTCTGGTGGTAGGCAAGTTGTTGAGCCCCTCGATGCAACGAAGACAGGTCAACGCGACCCGCTGAAGTTCCATAGTCGCGGGATGGAGTAGCAAAATCGAAATCTGTATCAAAGTTGGAGATGTCCATCTGCCTACGGTCGAAGGTGAGAGATGAGTCCTGACCAGCCATGGCCTTGGAGCTCTGCTTACTCGTTGAGGCATCATACATGTTCTCCATCTCCTTAGGGAAGTCTCCTGCTTTCATCCGAGAGTCAAAAAAACTCTGAAAAGCAACATAGAAGAACAGAATGATTCCAAGAGTGTACATTGACCAGGAAAAAAAATGTGTTACACCTTATTAAAAATTACATCTAAAGCGAGCCAGGACTATACAAAAATATTTTGCCATTTCGACCTGAGGTAAGACTAATGTCAGTCAAAATCGTGGACTGAGCATACATGATCAGCATCTTCATATAGAAGTTTTTAAAAAAATATATAATATATATATATATATTAAAATATCAAAAGATGGCAAAACTAATAAAAGTGTTTTCCCAAAACAAGAAAGACACCAGATCTTAATGTTCTCATCAGTGGGAACAAAATGAACAGAAAGTAACACAATCTAGGTCGTGTATTAATAACGCTCTTCAACTACAGCTTACAAACAGATAAGAAGAAGTTTATCCATATATGCCCCCACCCCACTCTAAAAAGAAAAAAAAACAACTAACTACAGCCATGCCACTCTCCATCCAGGTCAAAGTTAGCAGGAATCATACAGTTCCCAACCTGACAAGTCAAACTCACAGCATTCACCCCTGTATGTGTGTTCCGAGAAAAGTAGTAAATTAACCTGCAAAGATAGTACCACATAGGGCAATTAAAGGTCTGTCAAGCACCTTTCCCTAAAAATGACTAAGAAGGTTAAATCAGTCAGAGAGTGATACATTATAATCTTCACTTTACGTTCCTCTGACACCCTCACTGCTGTATCAAAGGCAGACATTAAAAAACAGAACGTAAACTAGAATTCAATTCCCTCATTTGAGCAGTCAGAGAAGCAAAAATTTGACCAAAGAGGTCAGTTATCGGACTCAACTCACCTGGTCTAGATCTACACTGCGGCTCCCTGCCTTGTTAGGATCAGGCATCTCAGCATTTAGAGTGTACTCAAGAGTCTGGGAGAAAGGTTGTGACACATGAGAGACAGGAGGTCGCATTGACGTCTGGGATATTGCAACTCGATGACTGCATGGGTCAGACCCACCGTTGACAGAATTGTGTCTACTACCATCCTTATTGCTGTAGAGGTCCCCATCAGGTCTGAAATCTGGCTCAGTGTAGTAAAGAGTGGAGCAACTATTGGTCGTAGTGTGGCTTGAGCTGGACACAAACCCTCCCAGGCTATTGCTCAGATTACCGTTATTCACAGCCCGGTTTTGTACAGGAAACTGTCCCTGCACACTCAACTCCCCATTCCTGCTGCCGTCTTGTGCTGAGGCTCTATGATATCCATAGAAACGCATGGCTCCCTCTCCATGATTCTGACCATTACTAAAACCATCTGCAGGGGATACTGGGGAGAACTGGCCAGAGATGTCAACCGACTGACCAATGGAAGCTGTCCAGTTGTGCAACTGACCATGCCCAAGAACCTGAGAGGAGGACGACGATGAAGTATCAGGCGGCAGTAGTGTCTCCCGCAGAGAAAGAAGAGAGCTTGGATCTTCCCCATCGCACTCCATTGTAGGCGCGGGACCATCCAGGCAAATTTAGGTTACAATTCCAGTTGAATCATGTGCGTAATCTTTATCTGAAATAATCAAAGAAAACACAATTCAAAGTACAATATAGGCTCTATACACTCAATCCAACTTTGATACATTCCATATAAAATAAAAGCAATCAGAACACTTTTCAACACTGCAAGAACAAAAACAAAGAATCTGCCATCATGTCTCATTGCACTTTTCATTGACATGTGATCATTTCAAATCATTGTGCAAATGTGTGGAAATCAAGGTTTGTGGCTTAACTCATGGCTACCCCTGCCGCATATGGTGCAGTCATAGTACAGTTTCTGCTGACTACCTTTACCACAGCCCCTGAGGATTTTGAGTTCAGAGGGGGTTTCTTCATGTTATTACTGCAGCATATAATGCTGCGTGGATACTGCTTTCAGAAACTATGACCACATCCATACTGAAATAGCAAGAAAAGTGTAGAAACGCACCTAGTGCTCTGAGTGCCAAGTGCCGCGCTGTGCAAAGAGGACACTATTTGCGTGTTTATCACACGATGGAGGGTTACTGCCTGTTACAAACTGGGACAAATGGACAGACTGTTGCCATCGTTGGTCCTTTTTTGTGTTTTCTATGGGAATGTGCCACAAACAATATTATAGGAAGTTGCATACACACTACAATTCACATTTGATAAGTTTTCCAACTAATGGTCCAATCATTGTTCTTGTGCCAATTTCAGGACCTATTTTTGTTTGTTTTCTAAAAAAAAAATATTTTTAAAGAAGAAAATCCCATTGTTTGTTGTGTTACACAATAAAACATTGCATGTTTCATCACTCTATATATATATATATATATATATATATATATATATATATATATGTGTCAGTTAGTTTTGTCACAGTGATCGTTTGGAAAATGTACTGAAATAGCAGGCAGGTTTGCAGGGTACATCAAAGACAAATCTATGGCAGCTAGCAGCTAGCCCGAGAGTTAAAACTATAATATAAGCCTAAGCATGTATAGTGGTAGGGAAATATAGCTTTTTTGAGAGCATCCAAGCAAAGGAATGAAAGGAGAACCATGATCGCTGAGGTATGTCGCAGATCTGGCCCTGAACGATGATGATGTGTATAGTGGGCGATAAGCTTTAGCAGCAGGACTCATTTTTATCAAGCAAAACATCTATAGGAGCCAAGCCAATATATTGCAGAATTTTTCCCTAATGAAAGAAATTATATAGGCCAATATGAGTCACGGCGAGATGGAATCAGGCGCTCGTTAATTTTTGGGCATATGGGGTTATTCTGTTATTGGTATAATCTTTTTTTTTTATAGTAGAGGGTTTTACGGCGCTCGCAACTGCATAAGGTCATATGAGCACGCGGGACACACCTAATACTTTTATTTGGTAGGAAATTTTGAATTTTGCCTGGGTGGTGGCCGAAGCCTACTCTTATCAATTTTAGACCACCAGGGGATCTTTAACATGCGCAACTTGCACATGGGCCCTCCGAGATTTTTCGCCCTTGTCCCAGAAGGCTAGGTGTAAATCTTTCCTACCAGAAGATCAGGGGTGTGGCAGAAAGACAGCTGTTAGGAGTCAAGGAGTAGCAGTAAAAAGGCTGCAGAATGAGTCAGGAGTCCAGAGGAGGGGGCAAAGGAGGTGAAAGGGTGGGGGCAGAAAGAGGAGATGAAAGCAGAAGACAGAATATTGCTAGAGAGCAGGAAAGGAGGTGAAAGGAGACAATTTTAGAGAAGAAAATTTTTCAGTCGCTACCCGGATTCGAACCCGGGACCTTTGAATGAGAGGCCAACAACACCTTAACTTCTAGGCCACGACAGCCCCCTGGTATAATCTTAAAGGTTGTTCATTTGCGTACTGTTTGGTGAAGAAAATAACCATTTATGCAGATTAGAATTCAAAATATTTGCGATTGAAGGAGGTCAGGGTTGCCTGGTTTCAGAGGTAAAATTAGCAAAAAAATGGCCGCCAAAGTTGTGTAACTTTCATAGCCTGAGAGTCCTTGGAAACTGAAAATTTACATATTTTGTGCCTTTAATCAATGTTTTTTCTGTAAAATCCACACAAAAACGTCTTTTTAAATTTATATACAGTAATATAAAAGGTGTTGAGCCATTTATTTTAAAAAATGGAAAAAAATTTCCCATCGGTAAAAAATGCCGATTTCTTTGATTTAATTATTTTGACGAGCGCCTGATTTCACCACAATACCTCGCAATACAATATAATATATATATTATAGACATATCTAGATTCTATAGAAAGAGATCTAGATCTATATATCACTAGCCTAGCCGCGTGATTCAACCGACTAAGTGCCAAGAGACAAATTTTTCAGGAGAAGCAAAAAACTTTTATTTCTTTATTTTGGTATCTATGAATCTAAAATTCAGATATATGATATAATATGATGTAGGACGATGGTCTGTAACTAACATTTTTTTAAAAATAGCTTTCTTACATAAAAGAGAGGGAGTAAGAGAGACAGACAGACAGACAGACAGACAGACAGACAGACAGACAGACAGACAGACACAAACAGATAGACAGACAGACAGAGAGGGAGAGAGAGGACAGAGGGAAACTGGAGAATGAGTAGTTTTGGTGAAAATTAAACCCATTATTCCTTTAATTATACGGTGATATTATTTTTTTTTTCAGATCTATAGTGACGAAGTAATGTATCTCTGCGTCTACTTGTTTATTAGAATTATGTTAACTTAAGCCAAAGTCTTACAGTTTATGGCCAAGGGAGGCAGGGGAGTAGCCTAAAATATGTGACAGAAATCACAGGCTTCCTCCTACTTTGTTTTAAAGGCCTTGTAACCCAGTGAAACAGACGGTACTACATTTTCTCATGACATGACAGCATCCCTGAGCATCACCGTGACGTGGCAGCAACTACCGCGCGTAATTGTTTTCTGACCCCGTGCGGGGCGATGCGCAAAACAATGCATTGTTGTTATGGAGCGCGCCACGAGTGACATCTGTTATGTAAATCCTCTCAGGTTGAATACAAACTCATTGTTTTGAATATAGGTAGAATGTATGAGATTTGTTTCAAATTGAAATGTAGAGCTGAGGAGTTGAAGTTGAAGGTTTGTTGAAGAGAGAATTTTCGGGGGCGAAAGTGTTATGAGTTGCTTTTCCTTCACTTTATATATTTGACAAATTAAGTATCATCTACCCGGCACTGATTAACTTTCATCTCAGTGATTCAAGAATGGTACAGGACAGACACCGCAAGGGGCACACACTTAAAGTAAATTAAGAAGCGTAAAAAGTCGAAATAAAAAATATTTTCTAATATTAGTTGTACCGGATGTGAAGCGCCCCTTAGCTGATCATTATAGACTTTTTTTAAAATTCATTCGTCAGTAGCTTTTGCCACAATTTACTGACTTGGTCAAGTCAGATTCTTTGATGCCATCTTGTCCTTTCATAAGTACACTACCAAACCTACTGTTCATGGATTACACAAATTGCCTTGACAAAATCTTCTGGCTATCGATAGGGTTTGATCTGAGTCAAAGTTAACAAAGGCAGCTCTTTGTTTTGATGTTATTACCCTCCGGTCTGTTTGACAAAGGCCACAGTCGTGTGGATCACTCTGCCTATGCGACAGGGGAACACCTCAACAAGCCGCTGAATCTGCGAGATTCATCCACCCTTTCGCCACCATGAGGCTGCAAAACTGGCACGTTGGCCGGTTGAATCACATGGAAATTGGGGACTAGTGTGAGGCTAGGCAATTTAATCTTTCAAACTCAAGGTTTTAACAAAAGGTGTATCAAAGGCAGTACTACATTAAAATAAAGGGATTAAAAAGTGATTTTCGAAAAATTTGTCACTTGGGTGGTTGAATCACGCGGCTAGCGATAGATCTATTCTAGATCTAGATTTTACAATCTAGATCTAGATAACTAGATAGAATCTAGATCTAGATTAGTCTAGATATTTATAACATTATAATCTTATCTGACTTGAGATTTGCAAAGCTCGTGATCTAGATCTACTAGGTCTTGCATGCAGACAGTTCACAGCACCATGACAACAGGCCAATAAGAAAGATGCAATCAAGAAAAGTATCTTTAATCCTTAGGCTAAGTCAGCCTTAGGTTAGGTTACAGGGACAACAACCTCTATTATAAAAGAGGGTTATTGTTCAGTAAATTATTTGGAAAGGCATCATTATATCACTCCAGGAATTCAGACATTGAACGCCTAGACCCAGAATCTAGATAGATCTAGATAGATCTAAAATATCTAATCTAACATATCTAGTAATCTAGACTAGAGATCTAGAATCTAGACTAGATCTAGCTAGATCTAGAATCTAGTCTAGATCTAGATCTAGAATCTAGTCTAGATCTAGATCTAGATAGAATCTAGTCTAGATCTAGATCTAGATAGATCTATCTAGATCTAGAAATCTATATAGATCTAGATCTAGATCTAGATCTAGATATAGATCTAGATTTTATATCTAGATTCCAGATGAGCTCGTCTGGTGAAAGACCTGGCCTGGTAGTGGTAGATTTCTAGTCTTAGATCTAGATTATAGATCTAGATCTAGATTAGCTTAGATCATAAATTTGAGTACTCACAATCATCATTCTATGGTCTGGAAAGGCCAAACGAAGAACATCATGAGGAACACACAAAATCAAATTGTCGACATTGTCAAGAGTAGATGGGGGAAACACTAGGCCAAAGTCCTCGAGAACGCCGAGAGCTCCGCCATTGCCAACTTGAGTGAAATAGACCATCATTCCACAATGTCCTTCACCTCATCCCCGCATCAAAGACGAGCAGTTTAAAAATAGGCCTCTACGCCAAGGGAGATTTTGATCTGTTTGTGTTTACTCATCAGTTAGGACGGTCAAGAAATAATATGAGATTGCTATGTAGACAATTGACTGTGGTTTGCAATTTTCCCAACTTTCACTTAAATCAAAGAGAATACCTAGAAATGAAAATCATCAAACAGTAGCCTAACATCTCACATTTTCTTTGATTTATAGATCTGCAAATAAACCATCACTCACAGTATTACAATATTCACAAGCCAAATCTTTATTTGTCTATACTTGTGAATAACATTTTTTGTTTTGATACGTTTAACATGGTATCGATATTAGGATAAAGATGAGTGGGAAAATAGGTGGGGAGAAAGAAAGACAGGGGACAGGGACAAACAAAGAGAAAGAGAAGGCGAGCGATGCAGTGAGAGAGAAAGAGAGAGAGATTAGAGAGAGAGAGAGAGAGAGAGAGAGAGAGAGAGATTAGAGAGATCAAGAGAGAGGAGAGATACTAGAGAGACAGCGAAATAGAGAGAGAGAGACAGCGAAATAGAGAGAGAGAGACAGCGAAATAGAGAGGGTGACAGCTCGATTGAAATTATGACATATATTAATTGTTCTTTTTTTCAAATTGTCTTTGTCTTATTGATTCCTCCAAATCCAAAACGCAGGAAAAACGATCGTTCATCGAAAAGACATCCGCAATCTTCATATAGATCTAGATCTAGAACTAGACCTAGGCCTCCAAAGTAGCTATGATTTATGTCTGTCTGTCTAGCCTACTAACAATACTGTCTAGATCTAGACCTAGATCTAGGTCATATAGATCTAGACTTCGTGACTTTGTTCCCGCCGCGGATACCGGGTAGCCTGGGGTCTGTATCTTTGTTACTGTCTACACTCCCCAGAATCCCTTTAAAAAATAATAAATAAGCTGAACAATAAGCCATATGGCTCAAGTGTAAACATATTATATTTCTTGCTTACAATAAGAAAAAAGCTAGATCATCTAATTCCCATCTGTAGTGTTAATATAATTATTTTCTTTGAAAAAAGTAAAAAGAATGAATAAGTAAGAGTAGAAGAGCTGGCTGATAACTCCGAATTTGAGAGCCTGGGTACGATTGCGAAGTTTCTTCAAAATGTTACTGTGCATCATCAAAAAGTATTCCAGAGAGTTAAATCAAGATGGTATTATAACGGGAATGCCCTGCTACTGTTTCAGGAAATAATACATATTACATAATACAGCTCAATATAATACTAATACAGTGTATAATAGTATTATTGATCTACATGATGTAGCTATTCACTATTCAATTTTACATTTAGATGGTTGACTTGGGTGCCTATTGTTCTCAATAGTTCTCATGTTGTTCACTTGTTCGGTGGTAATGATGGAGGAAATTTAAAAGTTTGAGATAAACAAAATTAAAAGAGTTCTAAAACTGGGTGTATACATTCAAAGGCCGAAAAGTCCTTTCATAATCGAGCCCAGCAATAGCGATACATGTAATCGATGTCATTTCTTAACTGTCAAAGATAGTAACATAACATCTGTTAACCCCACAGAATTCTGTGGTTAACCCAGATACCTATTTCTTCTACAAAATATGTCGTGCTTTTCTTCAAAGTCCAAGAAGATCATTTACGTGTTTTTAAAGAAATCTCTTTATTTAATCTAGAACCTTAACAAGTGCCAATATACCAGACTGATACATACTATTAAGTCATAGACTAGGTAAGAAATAATGGCAACTGTAAAATCGACTAAAGACCCTACGTGGTTTTATGTACTTCAGGAGGCATTACGACCCCAAAAAATCTGGAATTATCCTTCTTCCGGACAACGTGGTGGTTCACCTTTGACCGTGACCCAAAATGTCATGATATGGCCAATCAAAGTGCGTGAAAAGCAAAACAGAACCCCACCACGTAGTTCATGGACTGCTAGGCCTAGGCCTAGGCCTATTTGACCCATTTTGTGTTGTGGCTACGAAAACAGAATCTAATCTTGTGCATCTTGTCTCTGAAGCGAATACGTGGCCATATTTTTGGAAATTCTAATTCTCATTGTAACCTGTACACTGCAGTGTTGTGATTTTAGTATCTCCAAGAAGTACTGTAATAGTTTTGAATCATCAATCATGGCTTCTAGTGGAGACGATAAGTATCTTGATGAATTTGACAAATACAACATCGAGCAGGGCAAGTACGAGAACCATGCCCACAGTGGCAAGGGCCGGTCGAAAAAGGAAGCAGAACAACATCATCACGAAGACCCAAGTGGTCACACGAGGAAGGATGTTCAAAAGTTGGTAAACAACGCGCACAAGCAAGCAGATGAAAATAAAAAGAAAGCTAACTGACTTCATGGAGCATCTGAAAAGTAAGTTCTTATTCAAGACGTAAGGGGTCTACTATAAAATGTTTTTGTTGCAAGTTCTAGCTGACTAAACTTTGTAGAGAATAGCCTAGGTTATCTGCTCCTGGCCTCCTGTTACCTGGCCCCAGATAATAATATGATATATTGATCTTTCTTATTGAAAGATTTGTTACTGCTGACATCATTGCCCCACCCCCCTCTCTCTCTCTCTCTCTCTCTCTCTCAAGTTAAAGAAAGAAGATCTCAACTGCAAGTTGAGGAAGACAAAATTAATGTTTTTCTCTGATTCTGCCCAGTATCGGTTATATTGTCAGGATTGTGATCTCAGATCTGGCTTAAAAGAGCAATTTTTTGTGTGGAAAGGCTCAACTCTCATTATATTACTCTTGCTTTGACACTGGACAAGGTAAACGTTCCATTCTAATCCAACTTTCCATCTTATTATCAATACCAGCGGTCATGATGGTAGTGATTTATTTATTTTGCTACTGATAATACTAGAGATATCTAGAATCTAGATCTATTACTGTTACTTTCTATAATTTTTGTAAAAATATAAATTCTCATATGAGAGGAGTTCCTCAGAGGGCCGGGACTCACCGTGACAAGGTTCTCTGAACAAACTTCTATACAAGAGTTAAGGTTAGGGTTAGGTGTTGTTGGTTGGCCGGCCCTCTGCGGAACTCCTTCCCTCTTATTTTTCATTATCGTGGTTTACTCGAATAGATGCATCATACAAGTTTGTCAATCCCCGAAATTTTCAAGATTAAGTCTGTGCTCTATTGTATTTTTTTTTTTTTCTTTGGTTTTCATTGTTCGGCAAAGCCAAAAGTGTACCGGTAATCACGGATAGCTTGAATTCATCGGGATGGGCCTTGATTGTTTGGGGGATATTTTACAAAGATAAAGAAAAAAAACTGAACCACAGGCACAGGTGGACTGATGGGTGATTTTGAGTCTTCTGTGTTCGACTTATCCGTGTTATGCTGTAAGTGTGCACGGCTGGAAGATCAAGGAACTGAATAGTTCACCATTTTTGCACTTTTTTTCTGACATATTTTTCTGTTAAGTCATCAGTCTGATTGGAAATGTAATTCCTTAAGCTGGTGCTAATATTAGCTCTGTCCCTACAGTGCGCACCTTTCCCCCCCACCCACATTATTCCACCAGGTTTTTTCCAATCAATGCTTAAAAAAGAACAGAGATTTGATCATGCTATTTGCCTCTTTAAACCACCATCTGCCAAAACTGTCTTGAGTTGAATGGTCTTTATTTAATTAATTAATGTAAGTTTGCTTACCAACGATAACCTCCAAGTCTCCCACATTCAACTCCGAGAGCTAGTGATCATTGAAGTCAAACATACGTTTGGGTGAAGGGAAATAACTCACAATATAATATTACCCTTCATCTAGTCACGACAGAATAATTTCCCTTGACATATTGGTCAGTCAGCACTATAAAAAAAGCAGAGGGCAGTATTACAATCCTGTATACTGCCAGCCCCACTATATCAACTTCATACTCATCCAAAGTTTTGCGGTAAAAATTCCTTTTGGCTGTACTCTCTTCCCCTCTTCAACCCATCTCTCTGTGTTCCCACAAATTGTGACAAATCAACTGCTCGGTGTGAGATTCCATTATAGGCCTTCTTCACTTTTCAAAATGACGTGTATGGTGGAGTCTTACACTCTAAGCGGTATAATGTTCTCATGTGTGTATTGGTATTACTCAGGATTTCTCATTTACCAGATGTTTGTTTGTGATGTGAATGTTCTGAGTCTCTCATTGATGTCTTTATGGTGTAGCAGTTGAGGGCTTTTCACCTTGCATGCAGAAGATGCAGATCGCGTTACACCTTGGAAGAATATTTTGTTTTGATCTCCATCCTTCTATTGGAAAATGATATCCCATACGCCAGGTTTGGCAATGACTTACAATATACGGCAGCCTGCCTCATGATGTAAATTGTTTTTGAGGGGTGTAAAACATAAATTTACAATCAAGTTTGGTAGGCTATTCGGAGAGGCAGTCCCATTCCATTTCAAAGAGTGCCAGAAGCCTGAAGACCTTTGTTTGTCTGTTATCAAGTGTCAGTTTTCTTTTTACTGCAGTGAACCGTGATCAGGCAAGAGGAATTTAAGCCTTGAAATTACATGCCTTCAAAAATATGAACAGAGGTTATCTCATTCCTTCTGACATTTGAAATGGAAGAGATTAGTGTTGAATACGTCCAGAGTATTGCGGGGGGGGGGGGGGGGGGGCAGCGTGCGATGATACATGCTTACTATCAGATCTAATACTGTACTGTTGTTATTATACCCATATAATGTTTTGTTCTAGACCTTGATCTAAGTTCTAACATGGTACATAATTACAATTTTTTTTTTTATCTTTGTTTCAGGCACCTCTGTTCCTTTGTGCAACGATGGTGATTATTTGTTGACATACGATGGAATATAATGGACTAGGAGTAAAGACAAACGACTGATTTCTCACCGACAGCAGCTTTGGAGCGTCTCAGAACTTCAGAGGTTGCTGGGTGAGGTTGACAAGAGTGTAGACCACCTTGGATGACTCCTGATGTGGTACATTCCAGTCTGAGCCAGCACAATAGAACATTGAACGTTGTGAACATTATTAATTCTGTGCTTTCTTTTTAAGTTAATAGCTGAGATTGTGAAACTGGTGGTGGTGTTTTTTATCATGTATGGTTGTCAGTATGCTGTGACATACGGGTAGGGTTCATGTAAGTTTTTGCTTGTTTGTGAGTCATGTTTAGAATCGTTGAAACAAGAAAAAAAGAAAAAGTCGATCTCAGTGCATTGATTTTGGTTAATGAAATCCTGGTCATTTTGAGAAATTGTTGTACTTACATTGTTTAATGTTATTTTCTTATTTCATACGAAATAAAAAAAAGTGTGGAATATTAAAAAGTATTTTCATATTATTTTTTTTATTATTCCATTTTACTGTACTCCATGCAGGATTTTTCTCTTCCTTCTCTCTCTCTCTTCACTTAATTGTTGTTTGGTGCATTTATTAATTATTCATTTATAATAAATAGAATTCATCTCTGACTCAGTGGGAATTCATAGCCTTTTTTTTTTTATTCATGTAGCCTATACGTTGTGGGGGGTTTTTCTCCTCCATCAACACAATTTAGACTTAGTTCATCAATAGTTTTTGCTACAGAGACAATAGCCAGTAGTTATGGTTGAGGGCTACAGAGCTACAAATTCACAATTGGGCAAATAACTTTTCCTTTTCTTTGACTTTACTGAGAGATCTGTCATTACTTGTACTTAATCACGTGACTTCCTTTAAAGTCTTTTACGAGAACAATGATACTGGGCTGCAATGCAGATGATCCTGGTTTGAATCCGAAACAGGACTTCCTGAATTTGAATTGAGTGATAAAATTTCTGGCTCTCTGTCTGCTTGGGTATGTCACTACCCTAGAATTACAAAGTTCTAGATCCATCCCCTCGAGTTCAGAGAAATTTAACGTGAAAAATGTTGAGTTTCACATCATATCTAGTTTTTTCTAATGCAATTTTTGGAAAATCTGAATAAAATCTTAATAGCTCGGAATTAACGATTTTGATAGAGGGATCTAGAAATTGTTTTCTGACTTCATACATGGCCTTTGTAACTCAAACTGAAAACAGCCAAATAAAGGGAACTGCTGCTTTTTCTTTCCTCTTCCTCACAGTCACTGTCATCATTTTTTCTCTTCTTTTGTATACATGTTTGTCACTGTCTTGTGAACTGCTATTTCCGGGGTGCCTTGACTTGATACATGTAGTCTGTTGAGGCTAGAGAGGTGAGCAGAGTAGATCCAGAGAGTCTGTAGCTCTCTGGTAATCTAAGCCTGATTCCCCCTTTAGACTTCTCTGTTGACATCCACCCCTTGGCACTCATATGACCTTTTATGCAGTTACGAACGCCGTAAAATCTTACTTAGATCTAAAATGAAAATTTTTGAAACGGCCAAAAATGTCAAAGATAGAACTTCGTGTTCTAAGGTAGCGATTTGTCTGTCAGTATCAGAGTGTCAGAGATGGAAGTGAAATTTGAAGTCCTGCATTGACGATCTTAACCCTATCCATATGCCCTGGGGTTATTTTTTACCCCCGGGTTGTATTCTTCACATTTTAGAATACTTCCAGTACGAAGATCTCTTTGAAGATTTCAGTATTTCTCAAAAATTCATTTTGACAGACTACTCTGCAAAGCGCACGAATCGGATTAACGAGTAAATTTCCTCTTTGGAAAGTGGTGGCACAGAGTTTCCCATGTCGTATGGATACGATAGTAAAACACGATGTACGGATAGGGTCAAACATCTTTTCATTACTGGTACATTGCTCTTTGTATTGAAAGGGGCGACCCGTACACCGTACAGTACCATCATATTTTCATCATGTATTAACAATGATGATCTCTGTTTTTATTTTATCTTCTTGAACTGAAAAATAAAGTAGGCTACCTAAAGCACTTGAGGTTTATTGTTCTGGCCTAGGTTGTATGGTATGGGCGCACTGTTGGCTGAGATGGTATTATAATGCTGGACTTCAGAGCGGATGGCCTGGCCGTTGTTTGTTTGAAGTCCCAGCCGGGTGTTCTGAACTTGGGTTGTATAGGGGAGTTTACAAAGCTCTTTCCCCACACATTTGGCTGGGTCCTTTGGAGTCGTACATTGAATTCGTAAGTTCCCCCCTGATAAATAACTTTACAGTGCTGATTGCGACCAGAGAGTGTGTGTGGTTGTTGGTCTTGTTGTTTTTTTGGGAAGGGGGGGGGGAGCTCGATGGGTTGTTGATAATACATAATGTTATAGAACACACTGGCACCCTGATGTTTAGATCTATGTCAGGTCAATTAGTAACACAGCCACGGTGTAGACGTATTGAGTTGAGGAGGAAACTGCTGTCCTGTTGTTGACACACAATAGCTGTCCCTAAACAGCAAAAGTCTTGTCGCAGTCACAGGCTAATTACATTACCTGACACATCATGTTGTTTGTTCCTTGTAATACGATACTAGCTGAGAACCTGGAAAGATGGGTGATGTGAAAGGACAGAGTGTACGTTTTTTGGAGAGCTGCCAAGTCCAAGCAAACCTGAATGAAAGACGTAAAATGATCATCGATCATGTACATGTCTGTTTCAATTCAGGCACTATATGGTGATGGTAATGATTGGTACATCATCATCATCATCAATGCCTTTCACCCCTGGCAGGGTATAGGCCACATACAAGCTCCTTCCATTTATCTCTGTCCTGAGCCATCCTTCCAAGCTCGTTCCAAGTAAGCTTCATTTCTCTCGTCCCTTTCCACGTATCTCCTCCATGTTTCCCGTGGCCTACCCCTGCCTCGTGCTCCCTGGGGGTTCCACTGCAGTGACTGTCTTGTGCTGTTTCCGCTGGGCTTTCTTAAGGTGTGTCCCATCCATCGCCACTTTCTTAGTCCTATTTCTACTTCTATATCCTTTTGTCCTGTCCTTTCCCACAGCTCTTCATTTCTTATTCTATCTTGCCACTTAATTCTTAAAATACTCCTCATACATCTGTTGATGAAAGTCTGGACCTTATTCAGTACTGTCTTCGTTGTCTTCCAAGTTTCGCAGCCGTGGAGGAGCACAGACTTGACGTTGGAGTTAAAGAGTCGAATCTTGGTGCGTAGTGAGATGTTGTTTGCTTTCCAGACTTTTGATAATTGCTTGAAGGCTGACCTTGCCTTGGCGGTTCTTGCTTTAACATCTGCCTCGGTTCCACCTTTACCATCGATGACACTTCCAAGGTAGGTAAAGGAGTCCACTTCTTCAAGGGGAGTGTCTTCCACTGTCACAGCAAGGTTTGAAACTTTTCCTAGCTTCACTACTTTTGACTTGCCTGGATGTATACGTAGTCCAACACTCCTTGATAGGCTGTTGAGTTCCTTGGTCTTTTCTTGCATCTGAGCATGTGTGTGAGAGAGCAGTGCAAGGCCATCAGCGAAGTCCAAGTCGTCCAGCTGCTGCCAACGGATCCATTGTATTCCATTACGTTTGCCTCTGGTGGCTTCTTTCATGACCCAGTCAATTGCCAGTATGAAGAGAAAAGGTGAGAGCAAGCATCCTTGTCGCACTCCTGTCTGTACCCGGAATGGTTCTGAGAGTTGTCCTTCGTGGAAGACCTGGCAGCTTGTTCCATCATAGGTGGGCTTCACAAGCTTGAAGATTTTCTCAGGCATTCCAAAATGCCCCATGAGTTTCCACAGAGTTTCCCTGTCCACGCTGTCAAACGCCTTTTCATAGTCAATGAAATTGACCACGAGTGGTGAATTCCATTCAAGCGATTGCTCAACAATGATACGTAGAGTAGCGATCTGGTCCACACATGATCGGTTTTTGCGGAATCCTGCCTGGTTTCCTCGAAGCTTCTCATCCGTTGCCAGCTTGATTCTCTCAAGGAGTATCCTGTTGAAGACTTTCCCGGGTATGGAAAGGAGTGTAATGTCTCTGTAGTTGTTACAGTTGCTGATGTCTCCTTTCTTTGGCAGCTTGATTAGGTGGCCTTCCTTCCAATCTGATGGTATTTCCTCCTTTTGCCAAACTTTTTCAAATAGAGCATATAGAATTTCCACAAACGTATCGTTCTCTGCCTTAAGGGCTTCCGGTGGTATATGGTCGGGACCAGCTACCTTGTGGGACTTCAGTGTTTTTATAGCGGCTGCAATTTCCTCTCTTGAAGGTGGTTCCGTGTCTATTGGGAGGTCATTTCTGGCTGGAAGAATTTCTGGTTGGTTTTCTGGAGGTGGTCTGTTCAGTAGTAGATCAAAGTGTTCTCTCCATCGGTTAAGTTGCCCCTCTGGGTTGAAGATAGTCTTTCCTTCTTTGTCTTTCACTGGTAGAGTGGGCTTGCTGAACCTACCTGAAAGAGTTCTTGTAGTCTGGTGTACAATCCTCAAGTTCCCGTTTGTTGCTGCTTTCTCTGCCTTTTCGGCCAGGCCATTCAGGTAGGTATTCTTGTCCTTCTTGATGGAATTCTTTACCTCCCGGTTTACTTCGGTGTACTCATGTTGTGCAGCGAGTTTCTCAGTTCGATTGGTACATGCCCAGGATATTATGTGGTTCATTTAACGGTTAGGGATGTTCACCCTTTTTTTTTTTAGTACAGTAGGGGGCTCTCATGGCCAAGAGGTTAAGGTGTTAGCCTCTCATTCAAAGGTCCCAGGTTCGAATCCGGGTAGCGGCCGAAAAAATTTTTCTCTAAAATTGTTTCCTTTCGCCTTCTTTCCTACTCTCTAGCAATGTTCTGTCGTCTGCTTTCGTCTCCACTTTCTGCTCCCACCCCCTCGCCTCCTTTGCTCCCTCCTCTGGGTTCCTAACTCGTTCTGCAGTCTTTCGACTGCTACTCTTTGGCTCCTTCTTAACTGCTGTCTTTCCACCACACCCCTGGCCTTATTGTAGGAAAGATCTGCACCTAACTTCCCGGACAAGGGTGACAAATCTCGGAGGTCCCGTGTGCAATAAGTTGGGCACGTTAAAGTTAAAGATCCCTTTGGTGGTCTAAAATCGATAAGAGTAGGCTTCGGCCGTCACCCGGGCATAATTCAAAATTTCCCGCCAACTGAAAATGTTTAATTTTAATGTGTCCCGCGCTCTCATGTGACCTAATCACAGAATTCTACACTTAATGCAGTTGCGAGCGCCGTAAGACACTTACCCCCCCCCCCCCCACCCCCCCTTCCAAAAAAAGAGTACATGTAAAAATATCATGCATGTAGGCCTATCTCTCTTTACACTTTATATTTTATCCCACTTGACTGATTTTGCCCAAGTTGTCCCTGACCATCCACTGACATTCAGGGTCGAATCAACTTACCTTCTAAAATATCTAGATTTTTTTAATGGTTGCGTTGTAAAACAGGCTTACCGGTACAAGTAAGTTCATGATGTACAGTAACAATATCGGAACCTGTAGACTATGCCCATGCTCTTATACTTAACAGTTAAGTGTGAGTCGTTTTAAGGAACCTGCATACGTACACGCAGAGGCGAAGCGTCTATATAATCAAATAATCACTGCTTACCTTCCTAATTTTGAAACATTGTCGCAGTCAAATTCACCCATAGATAAACCTCATAAATTAAAAGTAAAGAGACGTTCAAAACCGTTTAATTGCCACAGAAATAACTTGTTCGACCCTATCGGGCCACTCCATAAGCAGTCGCAAGCTTTGATTAGTAAGCTTAATGAGTTAAAGTGAGGCTGGAAGAATCTACCAATAGAGTTGAAGGGAACATTTGCATAGCAGTCAAAACTGTTTCATTTGCCGCATATACCCTGTTCACCCAAGGAGATTCCCTTTCGAGCCACAGTTATAAGCACCCACACCCGATGTAAGCTAACTATTACACTGGTCGTGTCTACCCACAGAATGCTACACTAAGTGTAGAATTCTGTGAGTCTACCTACAGATGTGAGGGGAACTAACTCCTAATACTAATATTATCTTGACTGCTGCGCGTGCTTGTTTTTTATCCTCGACTTTTTAACGTCCTATAATCAGATCGTGACCTCGATTATGACACCAGCTCCTGGCCGTGAAAAGCTAGACAAAAAACAGCCAAATGTGAAATAAAATAAAAAAATTGGCATGCTCTACCAAAGTGTTTCGGCTGTCTGCCACTGTAGTGCATCTCTGCTTCTTTCATTGGTGTTCGTGTGTTATAATCTAAAGTTTAATTTAAGGTTAGTTAGAATAAATATTTAATAAAATACTTTCCCGATTATTTTAGCGGTTGAATATAATGCATACAACATGAATTCAGGATTTGTTTTCGTTCGCAACTCAAGAGTTGCCGCCTCCAGTCTCCAGTGCCAGTAAGATTCTTGTGACTTGTGTGAGTGTGATATCTCCAGCCCCTATCCTATCCCATCTCACTTTGATTACCCTGTCAAACAAGTCAGCCTTCGCCCCTGCGTGTATGACGTACTGAAAACATCTCCCTCAAGTACGCGTGTGTACTTGTACCACAAGTTACATTTACAACTATACAATGTATGGCCCTCAGTTTATCACAACTGTTGATTGATAACTGCACGCACAATGTAATTAATTTTATCTAATACTTATAATAGATCTAGTGGCAGTGGGTCTTCTGGGTAGAAAGGGTGTGATGAAGGACATAATCTACAAGGGAAAAAAACTACGAAAAATCGAAAAAAGAAGTACTGTACACCTTTCTTTCTCTTTGGAAGACTAACTCAACCAGCTGAGAAAAAATTAAGATCAACCCTTTTCTTGAGAAGACCTATTGTGTTCGGGGATTCACCCTTTTACACGAATTTTGAATAATAAAACCCGCAATTCTGGAGGTGTCATAGTGAAATTTTTTTTCGATTTCAACTTTACTTCTTCAAGTGTAGGTGTACAACAGGGCACACATCATTGATTCAACATCCTGTAGGCCTGCTGTGACTGTGCACTTAGCGTGAGCATACCTGAATTTCTAGAAGTTTTACCCCCCCCCCCCTCGTCACACCTTAGATTATTTAGGAGGCAAGCTGCTTCAATCCTGCCTGTCAGGACCAACCCGGGCTGAAAGGGACGCAATGTCCCAGCACAAAGACGGAGGCTCTCGATAAAAATTTTGCCCTCTCGAAAATCAAACTCAATTTTCTGCACGCATCTGCTAAGCGCCTTTATAACCGCTAAATACAGGCGCAGGGAGCAGGTTATATGTATCGAGATTTTACTGTACCGTACAAGAAAGTATCTGCCTCGTGAACACCCGGTGTGGACCAACAAGAAGCTGAGCCGTTGTGCTTATTATCTTTGTCCTGGTTTTATTAAAAAAATACAAAAAAGTCATCTGTCTGTACGCAACGCTCATTACCACCATAGATAGTCCACCGACAAACACCTTCCACTTTTGCCTATAGATAGTTAGGCTAACTTCTTAGTATTAACATTATTCCTTTTCTATCCCCTTTTCTGTACACCATTCTCTGTGACTGTGACTCTTCCTCATGCTCCACGTGGCCCTCCTCTTGATCTGTTACCCTGTAGATTCCAATCACGTTCTTTGTCACATATGTCTGCAGCTGCCCGACTTCCTGATCCTGAGAGTACGGTATGTTCAATCCATCGCCACGGCCTTCTTTCCTCTTTATCAGACTGAGCTCTGTCTTGTTTTCCTAATACGTCTCCGTTGGTGACTCTGGCCATGTGTTTCTGAGTAATTTTCTCAGACAGACGCACGTTGATGAAAACTTGGATCATCTTTATTACGCAAGTCTCAAATTGTTCCATGGCACTTTAATACATTGTATAGATCTAACAAGGCTGACGTTACATGAGTTTTAAAAACCCTTCTTTGTGCTGAACATGGTATCTTTAGTCCTTCAAATCCTGTTATAATTCTTTGCTCGCCTAAGAGCTATCTATGACATGACACCCGCACCTATGACCGTGGGGGTGGGGGGGGGGGGGGGTGCACACACAAAGCAAGTTACTTACAATAATAAGCCTATTATATTTTCGCACATCTCTTCTTTTATTGTTACCGGTACATTAAGCGCCAAACCTTATTAATTTATAGGGTAAACTGGTATACCCTGCAAGCTATCATGACTAAAACAAAATAAATAGCGCAACTCCAAAGTCGATCTAACCATGGTAAGATTGTCTAATCACTTTCTAACCTTATTCCCTGTAGTCATGATATAGATAGGCCTATTTAGATTTCATTTTATATCAATGTAAGTGATCAATTCCACTTACTTGTTCCAAAGATGTTTTCCATGACGTGGTTCTAGCATCCACCAATTTTTAAGCACTCTCTCTTATCTAATTCTAATGGTTTATAAATTTTTTAATAATTGCATTTATATTTACATTGTGCATCCATGCTTCATAGCATGCTTTGTGCCGAGTGCCGACTTGTTTTAAAGACCATATATTACTTTTTATTATTATTAATTATATCCAAGGCAATCACCTGTACAAACAACAATTACTTCACCTTCCCCCTTGCATTCTTCATACACACATTATAGGATATTTTCAAGAGGACCACTCATCTACAATAATGTACTAAGGTGTCCACTTTTCTTCTCGACAATGAATGGTAGTCTTGGACGCATTTGCATCCTGTAAGCTTACGTACGGCCTGTGCCCACTACAGCTGGATCGGGCCCATCGCCCGACTCGATCGCCTGAAACTGAAAACAAACACGTTTGTTTTTGAGGCGATCGAGTCGGGCGATCGGCCCGATCGGCCGATCACGTCCGTAGTATTATTGACTAATTTCTGGAATGATCGATCGGAAGGTAAGCCTGTTTAGGCTGGGGAAGTAGCTCCTCTATAGAACTGCTATGTAGCAACAAGTTATACTTGTAGTCCGTTGGAGTCCACTCTCGACGGGTTTATGTCACCAGAATTACCGCTTACTTTGTCCAGGGTTTGGTAAATGTAGATGATAATAATTTTATTTGCAGTGTCGACTCTCTCTCTCTCTCTCTCTCTCTCTCTCTCTCTCTCTCTCTCTCTCTCTCTCTCTCTCTCTCTCTCTCTTTCTCTCTCTCTCTCTCTCTTTCTCTCTCTCCATTGAATAATAACCAAGAAGCTGCTAGTGCAGGAAAGGGAAGAAATTAGGTGAAAGTGTTCGTGGCCAATACAAAACAATTATACATCATGTAGAATACTGTGATGATGATGCAAAATGTCGTAGGCCCATCGGCCTAGACTCCTCAAAATAGAATAAATAAGCTAGATCTAGATATTTATAAGGGAACGGTTTTCAAAGTGAAAGACACGATCTGGCCGATAGATCCACTCCACAATGATCGAGACACCAGAAAACAGAAACGTAGGACGTAGCAGCATTTAGATTTTACGTCATATAGGCAAACATTCTTTTTTTTTTTTTTTTTTAGTCATCGTTGGATTATCAGAATTCGTTTGAGGGACTAGTAGCAGGTGTTCCCAGTTACAAGCAAATTTTGAGTTCGAATCTGATTGTTGTTGGAATTATGCTTAACTTTATTAAACATGGGAGCCTTACAGTGGGCCCCGATATGGGCCTTGTATGGAAATTAATTATTTTTCATAGGACTTTTTGTGTAATTTGTGCAGTCCTTTGTGATTGTTTAAAAAGAGAAAAAGAGCAGACCTGCACGTGTCGTGACCGTAGCATGACGATGTATTATGTATTAATATTATATCAATGTACATGTACTTAAATTGCCAACACCTGGAAATAGTTAGATTGGCCTTCCTGGTACTCTGAGTAGGTCTAGTCAAGATTCGAAGGGGGCGGGGGTTAATTACCAGTGCAAAGTTTTGAATATCTCTAGTCGAGGATGCATAGAGTTTCGTCTTGATCTAGATTTCTTCTAGAATCTAGATCTAGGTGCGGCCGGAATTAAACGTGAGAAAGTAAACAGTTGCCAGTAATAACACGTAGATCTAACACTGTTTGCTGTAGTGTTGACAATTAATTATTACTACTACGATAAGTATAACAGTATGGTGTTATTTCAAAACGAACGTGGGAAAGGGGAGGGATTTTTTTGGGTTTTTTTGGGGGGGGGGCATGGAAGAAGTTGTGAAGATTAACAAATAAAGGTAATTATGAAACCCCAGTATAGGCTTAGTAAAAAGAGAAAAGCAGAATCAAACACACTGCCCTACTCGATGAAGCCATGCAACGAAATTCAGTGTTTGTTTTTGTTTCGGGGTCACCACTGGGTCAATTCGAGCAAGTTGTGTCCCTTCACCAGGGTAACGGAAGTGCCACGTGTGTCGCTGTCATCAAACAGTAGTAAAGATGGCGGCCACCTTGTTGGAAAAGCAAATAGCAGCCCTAAAGCGTATGCTCAACTTCAATTTACCACAAACTAAAGCCACAAACGCCGAACCACAATGGAAGGTTCTAATTTACGACAGGTTTGGGCAAGACATCATTTCGCCTCTTCTGACTGTGAAAGAATTGCGAGATATGGGTGTAACGTTGCATTTGACGCTTCACTCGGATCGAGATCCGATACCAGACGTTCCTGCTATTTACTTTGTGATGCCCACCGATGATAATATCCAGCGCATTTGTAGAGACTTTCAGAACCAACTTTACGAGTCATACTATCTCAACTTCATTTCTGCAATTTCAAGGCAAAAACTGGAGGACATTGCCCAGGCTGCGTTGCAAGCAAATGCAGTTCAACAAGTCTCAAAAGTTTTTGATCAGAATTTGAATTTCATTTCGCTTGAAGATGAACTGTTTACTCTACGCCACCAAGACAGAGACTCAATTTCATACTATGCCATCAGCAAAGGGGATGTTAAGGACACTGAAATGGAAGCGATCATGGATAGCATTGTGGATAGCTTGTTTTCAGTTTTTGTGACACTAAGTGTAGTGCCAATTATTCGTTGCCCAAGAGGCAATGCTGCTGAAATGGTTGCAGAAAAATTAGATAAAAAGCTTCGAAAAAATCTGATAGATACCAGAAACAGCCTGTTTGCATCTGATGGTGTCCCTGGACAATTCAGCTTCCAAAGACCACTTCTTGTCATTTTAGATAGGAACATAGATTTGGCAACCATGCTTCATCATACATGGACTTATCAGGCGCTGAGTCATGATGTTTTAGATTTAAAATTGAATCGTGTGGAGATTGAAGAAATAATTGATGAGGGACCAAGTGCAAATTCTCCAACAAGAAAACCTAGGACAAAGAAAAAGACTTACGATCTTTCATCTAAAGACAAGTTTTGGGTAAGTCAGAAGGGCAACCCTTTCCCCGAAGTGGCTGAGGCAGTGCAGGAAGAGTTAAATGCTTACAGACAGGAAGAGGGGGAGGTTAAGAAACTGAAAGCTGCTTTAGGCCTTAAAGGTGAAGATGATGCAGCTATAAGCATGCTGTCTGACAATACTGCTCGTCTTACGTCTGCTGTCACTTCTCTTCCAGAACTGTTAGAAAAAAAGCGCCTGATTGATATGCACATGAATATTGCCACTGCTCTCCTTGATCAGATTAAAGCACGGAAATTAGATTCGTACTTTGAAACAGAGGAGAAAATGATGAGTAAAGCTACTCTGAACAAATCCTTGATGGACATGATATCTGATCCTGAAGCTGGTAAACCAGAAGACAAAGTTCGTTTGTTCATCATTGCTATGATCTGTGGACCACCCATGTCTGAGGCAGAAATTGATCAGTACTGCGTAGCCCTTCAAGCGGCAAACTGTGACATATCATCTGTCCAGTACGTCCGTCGTTGGAAGTCATACTCGAAACTTCAGGCCCCTGCCAGCCAGTACACGGGTGGCGGCATCAGCTCGACTAGCATGTTCTCAGGACTTCTCTCTAAAGGTTCTCAGTTTGTCATGGAAGGTGTGAAAAATTTAGTTGTGAAAGGTCACAATCTGCCCACCACTCGAATCGTCGATGCTCTGATGGAGTTGAAATCTTTGCCTGATGTTGAAGATTACCTGTACTTTGACCCGAAACTGCTTCGAGCAGATGCTTCGTCTACACCTCGCAACAAATCTCCTTTCCAGGAAGCCTATGTTTTTGTTGTTGGTGGAGGAAACTATATTGAATTTCAGAATCTAATGGATTATGTTCGCTCAAAGGCCACACCAACAATGCAGAAGAAGATTGTGTACGGTTGTAGTGACCTTGTGAATGCTGCTCAATTTTTGAAACAGCTCTCTCACTTGGGACAAGAAATGTCATAATTTTTTCTTTTCTTTTCAATTTCACAAAAACACCAGTTCCATTAGCTGTGGAGAATTTGTCACTCCTTTTTTTAGTCATGAAAGCGGCTAATGTGAAAGAATTGAGTTGAAATTACTGGGCTGGGTTGTTGTTTTTGGGTTGTTTGTTTTTTTTGTTCTATGAACTGTTTTTGTTTGAGAATTTATATTATAATGTCATTTTTAATTTTTGTTGCCGTTGCACTCTTCAATAGAACAGATAGTTTAGGCTACCATGTTCACTTCTTCTTATAAAAATAGGGTTGTGCTTGAAGAAAGACTGAATGTATATGATGAGGAATCAGGGGTCGCTTAATTTGAATACGGTAGAATTTTCAGATTTCAATCTCTCACCTTTTTTCACTAACCCCCATTTTTGTTTTCTACTAGCTTTAAAAATGTTTTGTTGTGTGGTTAAATTTAAATGAGTATTCTGTGTGTGTACATATGCTTCAAAGGGGTTGGGGTGTTGAATATAATGTCTGCACATGACTGTCTGACTCATACTTTAAGTGGACTACACTTTTCAAATTAAATATTGTGTGTGTGAAATCATAAATTACTTTAACTATAATAGTTGTAATGGTTTTGGTCATCAACCCGGTGGCTCACAAGTACAGTATTCTCCACATAAACGCACTCTCCGCTCGAACGCACGCTTTTGACAGATGGGTATTTTACTTTATAATTAAGACGTTTAAATGCACGTTCACTCCTTCTAAACGCACACTCTGATCCGCGGAACACACCGACAGGTAAAACTTGACAGGGGGAAATTCTCACTACAACCTGCACAGCTTGCATTATAAGACAAGTCTAGAAAACTGGATATTTCACGAGACTGCCCCTCACACCGAACAAAGAGCAGGTGTGGATAGCGTTTTCACACCCGACTTTCCACCGACACATAGGTGTAGGACTGGTCGGTGAAATGTTGGGGGACTGAAATGTTTTTGATTGGTCACTGGAAATTAATCTTTGAGAGAAGGTTTCTGACTGTTGTGTGGGTGACTGCATGTAATGTTTAGTTAGGCCTAGACGTAGGCCTATGATGTGCAACGCACGTGAATACTGTAATACACTAGAGAGCCTAGAAGGATTAAAGATAGTCAAGTAGCCTAATCAGCTGCTTTCGAAGAACTCATCTTGTTCAACGAATCACAATAGGAAAGTTTCACTGAATGTAGAGATCTATGATTCTGATGTCGTCCATGAATTTACGAGTGAGGGCGGTCGCTTGGAAAGCCATGTGGCTGGGCCGTTGTCTCTATGACTATCACCAACAGTTTTCTTTTAGGCTATTTGTTCCCGACATTTTATGGTGCATTCATTGCATTGAATCTGTCTTTCTTACCCCCCACCCATTCAATAGCTGTATTCTTAACCGCAGTCGTGGAATCCGTCACGAAAGAGTCACGAGTCGTCACATTATCGGCCAGTGACCCCATCCCATAGGGGGGTCACTAAAATATCAAGGCAATAAGATGAATGCGTCCCTTTCTCCCTTTGCAAAGGTTCATGTAAACGCACGCTCAGTATAAACACACGCTAAGGAACCCTCCCGAGCCCTGTGCGTTTAGGCGGAGACAACTGTAATTCTTGTGTGCGAGACAAACGAGTGTCGATTTCAACCGTCTTGATTGAAGAGACGTTAAAAATAAAGTGTGTAGTCTTGGCCCTGTATGTTTCTGGAGGCCCTTTTCATCATGTGATGAAATTATTGCCAAATTTGATGATTGTATTAATTATTAAGTTTTGTATGTGACGGGAGACAATGACATGCATGTTTGTCACATTGTTGTAAATGTCACTGCCTTACTCTTACCTGACATAGCTGTATTAGAGTTCTGTCTATTCAACTATATTTTTCTCATGATATAAAGCCTGCCCATCTGCAGGAATTTTTTGTCACCTTTTGTGATCTTTGCTTTTCTCAAACCACCTTTCTTGCAAAGTACAAAAGACCTATTTTATGTAATCTCAGTTTTGTCGGACTAGTACTAGTATTACTGTGCAAGCAGGTCAAGAGCTGTCTTTGTGGGATACAACAACTTTTGCTGCATCTTGCCTTTGCTCTTGGTAGGTTTGGAAAATGAAGTGTGCGTTCAGTAGCAGAAACCTGCACTGAGAGATGCAAATTTTTATAAGGAGATTAATAAAGTCTACCATCCATAGAGCACAGTGTGCTTATTTTTAAATTACGAATCATACTTTCAGGAAAAGGCTTGTGTATTGAAAAGTACTCGTAACGTCCTTACAGTGTACATGATTTGTGTCCATTTGCTTCCGTTTTATGTCTATTTTTTTGTAGGTCAGATGATCCAAGACAACATGCCTTGGCTGCATGTTGTATTTTTTTCTTCACAAAACAATTGTAAATTTGCTGGAAATGGGCAGGTGTGTGACAATTTTAAATAGGAATGCCTTACTTTTTATTCACCCTTTTGGATAGTTACGCTACCATGTCAGTCTCGTATTAAATTTGATAGAAACTTTGAAGCGAAAAGTTATTTATTGTCCAATGGGAACAAAATGTTGGCCCTGGACTGTAATGAGATTCTTTCACAGTGTAACAAGTGTTTCAATTCATCTTCTCAACTTGTCATAGGTTATTTTTTACTAGATAAAGGTTCTTGATTCATGTTTCATGTTAATTTCTATTTTTTAAAAAGATTTGATGATTTAGCTGATATAGTGTGAGAGATTATCATACAGTAGTCTCCACCTAAATGCACGCCATACAAAAGCACACTCCGCTCATACGCTCGTTTTCGTCATCTGACATGTTTTTGACTATATAATTTGGACGTACAAACGCATGACCACTCTCTCTAAACGCTGGCTCCGATCTTCGAAACACGCCGACAGGTAAAGCTTGACTAAGGGAAATTTTCACTATGTACAACAAGCCTAGAAAACCGGATATTTGGCGAGACTGCCCCTTACGTCGAACAAAGAGTGATGGACAGCGTTTTCCCACCCTACTTTCCACAGACACATAGGTCTAGGACTCTCTTAGACTTGTCGGTGAAATGTTGGGGGGTTGGGAGACTGAAACGTTATTTGATTGGTCACTGGAAATGCATCTCTTTTGAGAGAAGGTTTATGACTGGTGTTTGAGTGACTGCATGTTGGTTAATGTTTAGTTAGACCTAAGCCTATGATGCGCAACACGCATGAATGCTCGTTCATGAAATTACGGTCGGGGGTGGTCGCTTGGAAAGCCATGTGGCTGGGCTGTCATCTCTATGACTATCACCAACAATTTCTTTTCAGGCTATTGGTTCCTGACATCTTATTGTTCCTTCATTACATCAAGTCTGTCTTTCTGCCCCCCCCACACACACACACACCCATTCAACGCTTTTGTTTTCTTAACCGCAGTCAGGGAATCTTTTACAAAACAGTCACTTGTCACATTATCGGCCAAAGTGACCCCCACCCCAAAGGGAGGTAACTAGTATATCAAGGCATTGAGATGACTGCGTCCCTTCCTCCCTTTTGCTAAGGTTCATGTAAACGCACGCTATGGAGCCCTCCCGAGCACCGTGTATTTAGGCGGAGACTACTGTAGTTATTACTGAAAGTTATGTGTCTGTTGGTGGGTAAGACAAAGTGTGAATCCTTTGTACATTAGTGGGAGATTCTGCATTGTTTTACATGATGGAATCACGTACATACCTATTTATCTGTGTCACACATAAAAAATTAGGGTTTTTTTTCTTTTCCTGTGTAAGTACTACTATTGTCCCTGGACCAAGCAACGCAACTTCTAATTGACCTTTTTTTGTGACTGTTGTTAAAGTCATTAGAATATTCAAAAGTACACATAGTTTTAGTTTTATCACAATTTCATTGAGTTGCAATGGAAATTCAAGCTAGTTCAGAATTATGTGTTTTCATAAAGGCTATTGTCCAAACCTTTTATGGGCAACTAAGAACCGCTGTACCAGTTAATTAATTTGCTAACGTCAACAGAGAACTTTTGTTGTTTTTCTTAAATTAAACAAGTCAATTTTGACTTAAAGCAGTGTGTAAAATCTAAGTCTGCCTGGTGGGTTTTCCTTTCTTGAGAGTGTTTGTCGCAAATGGAATGCTGGGTGTATGGTTCTCGAAGTTGTCATAGTTTTCATTTAAAATTGAGAGAGCGTGTTCAGAGGCAAGATAACATAAGAGATGGCTACGTATTGGGTACAGTGGCCTCTGCCACAATGTACAGTGCTGCACAGTAGTATTTATCATATATATATATGTGTGTGTGCGTGTTATTATTATCTGTTAACAAGTGTGTCACGACATGGTGGAATCAGGCACTCGTCAATGTTTTGGCACATATGGGTTTATTGGTATTCTAAAGCCTGTTAATTTGTGTTCCTTATGGGGGGAAAAAAATCCATAAAATATTATAAATATGTCATAAAATCTTAAATAGAAATATTGAAATAAATGTCATTGAAGGAGGTCAGGGTCGCCTGGTTTCAGAGGTAAAATCAGCTAGAAAATGGCCGCCAAAGTTTGGTAACTTCCATAGCCTTAGACTTAGAGTCCTTGGAAACTGAAAATTTACATTTTTTGTGCCTTTAATCAATTTTTTTCAATAATGTCCACACAGAAATGATTTCTTTATTTTGAAGAGCGCCGGATTTCACAACGATACCTCACAATTGTATCAATAATAATTGTTATTTATGAGGGATGAAATGTTTGGAAAGGATTTAGTGTACTCAAATATCCAGCTGTTTTTATTGTGATGTTACACGACTGAGTTGACTCTTTTAGGATTTATTTCTTAATTTTTTAATTCCAACTGATTTTACAGAATTAAGTAAGACAGCGGAGTCCACTTAAACAGAAATCTGCGGAGCTTCCTGATTTCCTCAGGTTTAGCTGGGTTTGGGTTATAAGAAAGAGACTATAGAGGGTGCTAGAATAGATTAATAAGAAACGAACAAGTTTTTTTTTCTTCTTTTGGTTTACCTGTTTGCTGATGAATTGTATTCGGTTTAAGCAGACTCCACTGTTTACATAAAGTATTTGAGAAAAGGGACAGTTCCTTTAATTATACTTACATATGAGTACCAGTTGTATAGTGTATAGAGAATCGATTTCACAAGAATTATTTCGACAATGTTGTTTTTTAAAATGTGTACGAGTATGCAGAGACAATTAGAATATTCTCTTGCAATCTTCGCTTCACAAGAGAATGTTAGGAGAGCGGTGTTAGATTTTTTTTCTCTCTTTCCTGTGTTCAGGAATGGAATCTTCTCGTTCTATAATTGGATTTTCATTTTTCGGTCATAGGTGTAAAATATGCATTTCAGGGGAAAGAATCGAACAAAAACGTGATGCAAGTGGTGTTGTCTTTCGACTCTTCATCATTGTTATGTGATTGTGCTTTTCGCTGGTTTATTTTGCTCACTCTTCAGCTGAATGTATTATTTTGCTTGGAATAGATTTATTGTGACATCTTATGTAGGCCAACAGAAATTCATTGGCTTTTTAAAATGTTTTTGGAAGGAAAAGTAGGTTTCTGTAGTTCAGTGTATTGGATGATTACCTACTTAAATTGCCAGAGCTTTAGTTGAGGGTGATTCATTTATTAAATGTGTATTTTTGTTCATTTTGAAATGTACATTGTTTAGTAAACAAATGATTAACTTCATTTTATTGCTACTGTTACCGTAGCACAACAGCATTTCATCACATTGGTTCTTCATCCAAGTCAAGTTTTGTTTCTTAAAAAAATATAGTCTTTTTTGTTTGGTTCTAAAGTCTGTTTTCTATGAACTGTCTGCAAGAGGAATCTTCTACATGCCCTTACACTACACATACTGATATAATGTTAACTCAGTATGAATCCGGGCTTGTTATACTCTTTTTCTAAAATACCAGCCCGAAAAGAATATATGGGCTACTGGGGATTGAGAAATGCCCTTTGTTGCTTGACACTCAATACTCTCTGACATCCATATGTTTGAAACAAGTGTGATGTCTCTTTCCCCTTTTCTTTTCTTGTGACTGTCAGTCTCTTTATTTTGGTGCACAGTCACAGGTTGGACAATTCATTTATTCACCAGTCTTTTGCCTTGATTAATGATTTTGATGTCCTTTGAGTTCTACTTTCTGGACTTGTGGTGAAGTTGTAGGTCAATACCTTGGTCAACTCAAGTTAACTGGGCAAGTTTTAGAGTAAATGTGATATCATGTGTAAACATTTGTGTGGCATTGTTTAACGAGTGAGTGAAAGAGAAAAGTACCGGTAGTAGTCCTACTGTTATTGTATGTTTTAGAACTGATGTATTTAAAATTTCTCATTTTCCGTTGCCAAGTGTCATCATGTGATATTGTTGACCACTTTGTGGTCTATAGTAATGTGATGGGGATTGTAGTAGCTGTATTTACCTCAAGTCATTTTGTTCACATTTTGTCAGCCACAGACATGGACAGCCTCAATGATGGCAATCCTTGTTAATGCTATTGTTAGACAGGCATGGGCAAATATGGCCCATGGACCAGATCCGGCTAGAGAGCAGTTTCAGTCTGGACAGTGAGTTGACCCATTGTTTGTAAATACGAATGTGGCCCGCGATGCGTTAATGATTATTTTTTTAACTGCGTGTCTTGAGAATTAAAATCTATGGTTTCTGTCATAGTTGGAAAAATGAGATATATATCTCTAATATCTTCTGAAATACTCTTGAGTGATGTATTGCTATAGCAT